TGAATTTCGTAAGGCCTGCCTCTTCTCGCATGCTTCTTCCATAAATCTTCTGCATATGAGGTCGCTCGACGAGCGCAATGACCATGACATTTAGGATCTGCGTGACCAGGGCAACGATGAAGATGCCCCGGCTCCATGTGATGAGAGCAGCACCCCAGATGCCAGCAGTGCCAAACACTCTTTCTGGGTTATTCAGGAACCGGTAAATGGATGTATATGTGAGCTTGGCCTCGTGGTCAAAGAAGAAGTCGCCGCAGAACCATCCAAATTCGCCCAGTGAATCGTAGACGCTGAAAGCGGTCCATAGCTGCAGAGCAATCAATCCAGCTCCAAGAACGTGCTTGAAAAGGGCTAAACCGTAGCCCCAATCCTCAGGAGGGTTGTACATCTTCCAGCACGCGGCAACGAAGGCGGTGTTGCACATGATCATGCTGATGTGATACATAGCTTTCCACTGGCGCCAGGCCTCGCCGGCACTCTCGCCATACTTCAGAAAGTGACGGGTCCACATCTTAGTTTTAGATTGGCGATCCAACACGAAGCCCAGACCAGCGTGATACCAGAACCGCCATCCCAGTGCATGGGCGACGAAGAAAGCCTTCCACATAGCAGTGCTGGGAGTTGTAAAGGTGAGGATCGCGACGTATATCGGCAGAATGACGACAACGCAGTCGGGCACTCGGAATAGATCCATATTGTTTAGACCAACCAGATTGTGCACGGGTGCCGGCATATCCTTCTGGGATATAGAAGCAGATCGCATGAAGTCATTGTCCGCGGGGAGATCAAACGTCACGGTAGTAGCGGCCGGGCTCCGACTCACATTCTTTTCTCTTGGAGCAGGAGGGTTGTAGATTTTGTCAATGTGGGGGTTTTCCACCGTTACGAGGAACGCGAACTGGGCGAGGTGGGCGAGGATGGAGATGAAGAGCACCTCATAACTAGCGGCCATCATCGAGATACCGTAGTAGCCAGCGTAACCGATTGAGTACATGGGGTGGGGAGCCATCTCAAAGACGCCATCAAATGTGAGATCCTGGTCGATGAGGTAGAAGAAATCTCCCCAGTACCAGGCAAAGTCTTTGACAACGCGATGGGCATCAAGCTTAACCCAGAGGTTAAATCCGACAAGCGTAATACCGAGGAGCCATCGCGCGACTCCAATGAGCATGTTTTCGCCCTTTGGAGAGTGGCCACAGACAATGGCGAACAGACAATAAGACACGAAATCACACATCAAGATGAGATCAACGACTCTTCGGAAGACGAGCCAGGTGTTGTACTCGACGGGGGCTTTCTCGAACTCATAGTCTTCGGGGATCTTGGCTTCAAGCTCTCGCTTGAGCAGTTTGTACAACCATGGGCGGGGATTGTTGCCGGTGCTGGGATGCTCGAACAGCTTCCATCGCTGAGCCCAGGTGATGAGGCGCCGGTGGTGAGATTGTATGTGCAGCAGGATGCCGATTCCAACATTGTAGCAGGCTCTCCAAAATAGGAAAAGGGCTGCAAATACGGGGCGCTTGTAGCCAGTCGGAAGGAAGTACGCCGCCAGAATATGCAATGCTAGGATAGCCAATACAATAGCATCTGAAAGGTTCTTGGGCTGTCGCGGGTCAAGAAGCTGTGAAACCATGTCATGCGTGGTTGGCACGACGAATACTATTCCAATTAAAAGGCACTGATCAGCTCCATGTCGGGCTGTGACAGTCGAACGGGCCAGTGCTGCGGCATCACTCACCTGTGCCATCTGGCGTCCGGCCAAAGGTCTTCTTTGGTTTGTTAATGCCACCATCTTGGACAGCCTGGTCAGCTGCCAGCGGCTCCATTGGCGTCGTAGAGCCGGGGCTAACACCATCGCTCTCGTTCAGCGAAGCCTCGTGGACTTGCCGGTGCCGCAGCTCAGCACCTCCGGCTGAGATGTCAGCGGCCGTGCTCATTGTGAACGATGTTGAAGATCGTCCAAGTGGGCCCAGTCGACAAAGAGGTTGAAAGACAAAGAAGCGGAAGAAATACGAAAGAACAGCAAGCAGAGCGAGAAGAATTGCGAGCTTGCGGACTATTTAACTGAGCCTTTCTGCACACAGCCGGGACGTCCAATCACGGGCGGCAGGACAGTTTGTTGAGAAGCGGCTGCAGGGCCCTTTCTGGCTCTTTTGATTGCAGGGCGGAGCCACCAATCCGGAGTCTAGAAGCGAACTGATCTTCGGGCTAATATCGAGCGCGAAAGGTGTTCACTTGGAGGCCCTCTTATTATCTCACTTGTGCGCAGCAGTCTCTTGGATCGTCAGCAATTGGATTGATACGACACGCGGTTGACGCCCGCCGATATAGAGCCAGTAAAACGGCGCTGTTGAATGCCGCTTTTCTTTACTATTCAGAGTTGAGAGAAGGAAACTGGCGGAAGACACGAGAAAGCTAATAATACCAGCTGTCTTGTGACCTGTGACCGGCTCTGGGAAGGGGGCGCCGTAGATACCGAACACATGCCAGTGGCCAATGGCCGGGCAGTGTGGGGAGACAGCCTTAGCACTAAAGACCGCTGGCAGGTTGATGTCAATAGCGGGGAGCCCACTGGAGCTGTTGGCAGCAGAGCCCCCTAATGCAAACGTTACTATCGGCTAGAGGAGGCATTGGCGCCAATACGAAGCATGTACAAGCTTCGACATTTACTTGAGCTGTCACCCTCTCTAGGAAGACAGCCGTCTGCATTTTTATATAGCCTTGCAGCGGCAAATCAATTGAAGCTTAAAATTAGTCGTCTAGGGGCTGTATACCGATAGCATCGTCTGGTCGCGTGAGGAATGCGGCCAACAATGTGATTTCGTGGTATGAGTGCTCCATAGTAGCATTGGCAAGCCAGGATAGAGTCTAGCCCGCTATGACGAATGCTGCTAAGGAAAAAATTAGGACGACGAGACGACAGACATGTGAAAGTCAGGATCCTGGTCTGCAATGCGCCAAATCGATTGGCTCGAGGACCCCCACATCTGCCCAACAGATGCAAACCCCACTACTCCGTACTCCAGAGGGCTTTGTTCACATAAGCGAGCTACCTGCTGCCATAATCCCGGTTTCCACTCAAGGCGGAGAGCGATAGGTGCTGGATCAGTACTAGGCATATGTAAGCTCCAAGTACTGTATGTATAATCGCTATTCTGTTATCTACTAAAGGAGCCTTGTATTCAAATTGGGGGGCCTTATCTACTAGGAAGTGCCCCTTATTCGAAGACCATTTAGGCGTTTCATATACATGTAATTCCAGTAAAAGAGGAACGAATCAGAGGGGCCGCCAATACCATACGTAGCTGCCATTCGTTCGAATAAGTAGTAACCCGTAGCCAGCAAATTCGGTACTTGTTCTTACAGTAGTCCGTATATTTATATACAAATCTGCAGATATTCAATCTCACTTTGAATTTGCTGGCTACTTCCGACACCCTGATGCTTGCCTAAAGAGCGGCCTACCACAAAATTCAAATCAAATCAGTTACAGACCCGCATTCATAGACATCTTCGGTAGCCATGTAAAAAGAAGACACAATTTCAGCTATTCAGCAAAATAGTCATAGCAAATGCATTACCATATCTCCCTAACCGTCCCGCAACAAGAGAAAACAAGGCCCTTTGCAATTTTTCCCTTACTGAGCCTTCTTGGCAAACTCCACCCTGAGAATGAGATGCTTGAAACCAAATCCGTCCATCTTGTTGCATGCTGTGACAGCATCGCTGTGGTCCGCAAAGCTGATGAAAGCAAAGCCCTTGGCCATGCCGGTTTCCCGGTCCTTGGCAAGGAAGACTCTGGTGACGCGACCGAAGCGCTCGAACATATCGCGCAGTTCTGACTCTTCCGCCATCTCGGAGACCTGTTTAGGAAAGAAAAAAAAGTCATGTTAGCAAAATTGCACATGTTTGAATATAAAATTGAAAAAGTGATAAAACGTACGTTGGTGACACGGAGTGTCGCAAAGTCGTCTCTCTCGCCGAATTTTGATCCACCCATGCGCTCTCCAGCTCCACGGTCGCCACGCAGAGCAGGGGGAACGTATGAGCCCTTCTTTCCAGCACCGGCAGCACCAGCAGCAGCTGCCACATCGTCCACCGGGGGTGCATCGGCGCCGCTCGTCTCGCCAACAGGCGCCATCGTGTCCTTGTAGGGACACCTGGCTGTAAAGTGCCCGCCATTGCAGATACGGCACTTGACCTGCTTGTCCTTGAGCTGGGCCTTCATGGCCTGGGCGTTCTGGTCGGTGCTCTCCTCCTTGGCATCCTTACGCCAGGAGACGCTGGGTCGGAAGATGATGTTCTCGCCGACGGAGGTGGTGTCGGGGGCAGGGCCCGCGGGGTCTTTGGCGCTCAGGCCGAACTTGGGCCACGTTTTTCGGTGCGCGACACGGGGGTTGACTGTCTCGGTTTGGGTGATGTAGCGGATGCGACGAGTTGTCTTGACCTTCTGGCCCTGGTCATTGTATCGGTAGGTGATGATGGTCTTAGTACCATCCTTGTTAGAGATGGTCTGAGGAGGGGGGAGTTCGGAGGAGGTCTCCTCGATGTCGTCGTCGTCGGCCCAGTCATGCCTATTTTTTCGCGAGGTGGTGGGGTTAGCGAGGCTCCGCGAGGTTGAAGTTGGCAACAATGGCGGCCACTCACTTGGCCTTGGGCGGCGCTGCGGTTGCGGAAGCCATGTTGACTGCCTGCTATGAATCAATTATTTCGTTGATTCAATATTTTCAGCCTTGCTGGGTCGTCGACGTGTGCCGCGTCGGCTGTAGTGACTCTACAAGGGGCTGATTTTGAGCGTGGGGTTTCTTCGTCGAAACAATCCAGCGAATTTCTCAACTTTTGGTGCGGTTTGCATTTTCTGGTGGCGAAGCCACATGTGGCTGCGAGTTTCAGTCACGTGGTTCTTATCTTATCTTCGAGAGCTTCCGGGTAGGTCACAAGCTCCTCTGTAGCCGGCGCCGACAATTCCACATGTGGCGCTACCTCAAGCCTATTACAGGCAAAATCGAATGAGAGCAAGCCTAACAAAGGGCTCTCCGTCGTCGCCGAACGCCCCCGTGGTTTGTCGTAATCGACTGTGGCGCCCATATGACTTGCGTTGCGTAATGCTCAAACAAGCCGCAATGGAAGAGAGCATTAGGTTTGCCGCGAAGCCGAGGCGGCCAGAACCATAAGGTTTTGGTCATGCGATGGCCGCGATGGCCGGCTTGTTTTATAACACCGCCCGTTCTCTCTCTCCTGTCTTATCTTGGCTGCTATTTTGAACTATTCCTACTAGTTCATTCGTTTTGCCTTCCCTCAGTCGTTTTTCTGGTGATACGTGATAGCGTCCAGACAGTAAAACCATGGCTCCCAAAAATACCAACAGAGGCGATCAGCCCCCGGCTTACGGAGAGACATCTCAATCACCCCAACCGCCCCAACCAGCGTACGGAAGAGATGGGGGTTATTTTGGCTACGATCAGAATCAGAACCAGCCAAACTATTATCAACAGGGCATCCAGAGCCCTCAAGGCCAGCAGGCATACTACCAGCCTGGTCCGCAAATGAGCTATTATAACCAGCAGCAAGGCCCTTTTCCTGGCCAAGGCCAATATCCCGGCGGAGGTCAATATCCAGGCCAAGTACAGTATCCCCAGGGACAAAATACTTATGTTCAATACCCTCAAGGCCAATACCCCCAAGGTCAATACTATCAAGGATATCAGCGGCCAGGATATGTCTCAAATCGACCTCCAAATAATTCAAGTACTGGTTTCTGGGAAGGCTTAGCAATTGGCACGGCTTGCTGCTGCTGTCTGGATTGTTTATTGTGTTAATCTGTTTGAAAAAGATGAGTATAACGTAAGACTACCGAGTTTTGTTTGTCTTTCTTCCCTACTCTTCCAATGTACGTTGTCCATTTAATATCTCACGTCAAAGATATTAATGTCTTTGGCAGGGACGTTGGGAACAAATAATGGGTGGAGATCTGGTTTTTCGGGCTCGGAGTTGAATGGAATTGGCATATGGAGCCTAGAAGCGGCTGGCCAGTGGATAGGAATGGTGGATATGGCGTCTGGCGCAAGGACGAAGTCTGGTCCCGTGTTTTCCTTGTCATTTGCTTCATTTTATGATACCGTGCGAATATGATTATATTTATATCCTGGTGAACTGGTCAAGTTGACTCTTACTCTTCCCGAATCATATATTAAACCTCAAGCGTCTGGCACATGCGTATATGTATGTTGGAGATGTATAGCAGTCCATGGTTATGTAGTTTCATGATAATACTAAGAGCGAATAAATTACCCAAGTATAGTCGACTACTCTGAAGTTTGGTATCGCCCATGCTTCGCGCTAGCAACGATCCAGAAAGGTAAATTAAATCTTAGAGACTAACCAATATGGAAGAAGATCTTAGAGAGAATAACCAATATGGAAGAAACTATAAGCACTCAGCCAAGCATAACAGCACCGGTATGTCTGTGTAGGGAACACCTCCTATCACGAGCTGTCTTCGCCAGTGAAATTTTGACAGCGGAAGTTTCGCGCCTCGTCTGTCAACTTAAGTCAAGGAATATGTTTCTGAGAGTTTGGTGATTAGCCTGATGTAAGTGAAGGTCATTAGGTCTCAGTCTATAAGAAGCTAGTGTATGGATGGTCTTTTAGGGACGGAACTACTTGCACGTATTTGGAAATGCTCTGATAGTTGATGTGATTCCACGCCATCTGTAGTAAATAGGGAACAGAGAGTCACTTGATTCGATCACGATCAACAAGGTTAAGGTTGGTAGTATAGTAGGTGGAAACGCCCGCTCCCACTACCCTATAGAAATGGTGCCTACCTTTCGATTTGCCCCAAGAATAGCGATTCAAGAATCATGAATTCTAGCCAGTAAATCTTCCCAAACTTCCATAAAACCGCCATAGATTTCATTATTAAGCTGGATGTTGCAATAAATACCAGGTAGCCATTTCTGGCAGTGGTCAATCTACGAATATTTTACAGACACTATTAATAGTCGCATGCAAATAGTCAGGAGAGATTATACTAATCCGAGATAAATGCGATATACTGAGCATACATACTAGTCTACATTACTATTGAGAAGCTTATATCTAGCAATTTTGGAGCATTGCTAAGGTCATCACTAGCAACAGTTACTCGAAGTTATCTTCTACGGGTAGACAAAGGACTCTTTGGGCGAGAATTTCAACAGGGTCGCTCATTTGGTAACATGGCAGCCTGTCTTCTGTATTAATTAACAACGAACTACAATCTAAAATGAATAAAGCATTTCTCACAGCAAATGATGATAGTTTAGAGAGGTCTCGATGTGGTGGTCATCTGTGGCTCAATGCTGCCCTTTTTTTTTTCTTTTTCGCCGTAGAGCATATCGCAAGGGTCATATGCGTATATGTGCCTCCACACCATACCTGGTAGGAACGTAGATAGATCGACTCCAGGATTATTGAAAAGATCCAAGATCATCTATCGATTGGGGGGTTTTTGCAGATTGGTCAATTTTGCCACAGCAGGCAAACTTCCACCGTTATCGTTTTGTGTTACACAAACGTATCAATCAATCAATCTGTCCCAGTTCCTGCGGGGCACTAGTGCACAGCGAGCAGCGCCAATACGTCAACGAAGAGTCAGTGAATGCAGCTGCCAAAGCTGGTGCTACCCCGGAATGCTGCACATGTACCTGCTCCATTGGACAAGCCGGCGGAATCCACCTGTCGCTGCCGCTGCGCCTGGTTGAAACGCATACCGCTGTTTTCTGACAGGCCCCTTTTCTGGCCACCCATGTGCGAATTTATTGCAATGCTGGGTCTTCTGTTGGGCGAGTGAATGACGGATCTGTGATCGCCTTGTCGGTACCTGCTAATGCAATCATGTCTTGTATGTGGTGTCACTTTGTTGGCAGCTTGGTACGCGTACAAGCCAGCCTTTTGCCGCCAAAACAGGCTATCGAGAGGAGCGAGCAGCCAACGAGAGGCCAGCGCCTGCATGCGGGCAGCCGCCAACAGCAAAGCCCGTACCGAAGCTCTGGAGCCACTGAAGAGGGTGCGGGGCACAGCAGGTGAAGCACCCGGCGCAGGCCTGCCAGTGCCAATGAAAAGCCGCTGGGCGACTCAAAGTGCTCACTGAGGCTTGGGGCTGGCGCCTGTACCCGCGCTGATCCATGCCACACCCGCAGCTAGTGGCAGGGCCTTTGTGCCGCCTCTGATGTCACCAGACGCTGAGGGCGCCCTGTTTTGTGTTTTGAATGGCGACGTCTGTGTCTCTGCATCACGATTGGACGGCGTATGACGTTTCGCGCAGAGGGTCCAGAACAGGAGCGGACCTTGATTCTACGGCGGAGCAGTTGAGCAGTGAAGCAGGGACGTGCCAAGCAGTAGTGATAAGGTGGTGATTTATTAGAAGATTGCCTCGAGGACAAAGGACGATCAGCGCTTGATACTTCTCCACCAAGGAAAAAAAAAAGGGCGAGCGGTTTCCCTTCCACCGCCTTTGCTTGGCTTGGGCTATCGTGCAATCGCCTCAACGAGAGACACTCGCCAAACGCCGCCATTGTTGGCCAAGCTCGCCTCCGCCGCCTCCTTTTCTTTTTCTTTTCCTTCTTCCTCTCTTCTTCCTTTGGCCCTTGGCCTCTTCTTTGACATTGAACACACCGCGTTTGTTTCTGTTCGCCCCATCCTTATCGCCTGTTCCCTAGAAGCCCCCCAAGGGGCGTCACCAAATGCAGCGCTCGCACCTACAAAAATCGACCACTACGATATCCGTACTGCATCTCTAAACTAATGTTACGACCATCTCTTTCTGCTTCAGCATAATTAAACACCATTTCGTATTTCCGGTATTTTACGTCGCGCAATCACAATCCGCGGCTGCGCGCTTCGTCGCTCTCCTCTAGCCATGGAGTCAGTATCCTTTGGCGGCGACCGTACATGGTCCGGCATGGTGCTCTCGACGACTGCCTCTCTGGCGCGGCGAGATAATACGCAAGGCGCGGGAAATGGTCAGAAGAGCGCAGGCATTGGCATTGTGAGCTTCTTGACTGCCATCCTGGTCTCCGTCATCATTTTCTTTGTCCAGCTGTTGCTTTTTATGCTTCTGCGGAATAAACTGGCTCGAATTTTGTATGTATTACGCTGCTGCTGTCTTACCATCTCCCCGTCGCGATTCTGGTGCTGACGACGGCTTCTCTTCTCAACAGCAAACCCAAGACGTATCTCGTCCCCGAGCGTGAACGAACCGAATCGCCGCCAAACAACTTCCTTGTTATGATCAAGACCTTGGTCATGTACAATGACCGTGAAGTTATCAACAAATGCGGCCTGGATGCTTACTTTTTCCTGCGTTACCTAAAGACTCTGCTCATAATATTCATACCCATCTGCGCCATTGTGATGCCCATCTTGATTCCCGTCAATTATGTTGGCGGTCGCGGACATGATATCGATTTTCACACCAACAGCACTGATTCGGATTCAAGCACCAACAGCACTGACCCTACCTTCGTGCCCACAGGCCTGGATACTCTGGCTTGGGGAAATGTCAAGGCAACGGAGACTAGTCGCTATGCTGCTCACTTGGTGATGGCAATTCTTGTCGTGATCTGGGTATGCGGAGTCTTCTTCTTTGAAATGCGCGCATACATCAAGGTCCGCCAAGATTATCTTACCAGTGCCGAGCATCGACTCAGAGCTTCCGCAACAACGGTTCTTGTCAACTCAATCCCCCCCAAATGGCTTAGCGAGGAAGCGCTCTCCGGCTTGTTCGATGTATTCCCTGGTGGCATTCGCAACATCTGGATCAATCGTGATTTGACAAGTCTCTTGGATAAGGTCAACCTCCGGAACCAGATTCACGCCAAACTTGAGGACGCCGAGACTGAACTGATTCGAAGTGCCAAGAAAAAGCAGCTCAAGAAGAGAAAGGCCGAAGAAAAGAAGCAGAATAAGAAAATGTCCAAGAAAGAAAGGATCAATCGTCAAGCCGAAGAAGACGCTGAGGCCAAACGAATGGCCAACAGTGGTGAAGGTACCAATGATGGAAAGCGCCATCATGTACCGCACACAGTCGCCGAGGGCGTTCGAGAGTCGCGGATAGAAGGTATGCATCAAAGAAGACTCGAGAAACTGCACAACGTCCGGGAGGAGTCTGAGGAATCTTCAGATTCTGATGACGACCGGGGGTCTCATGTATCCGACGGTAGCAGCGTAGCGGTACTCAAGAATATCAGAGGCGCCTTCAACAAGGCTGGCGACCATATGGATGAATTCGGCACAAATAATGGCTTCATAACTTTGACACGCAAACAAACTCTCCCAGACGACGAAGATACTCGAGGTTATCAGTCTTTTGAAGCTAACCGAGCGCATACGCATTCGCGCGGAGGATCTTTGGCTTCAGCAAATTCCACAAGAGCTATCCGCCAAGACGGTGTAACCACGGTGGAAGGAAACACGGTTCGAAAGCTCGAGAATATTGATGACATGTACAACATGGAAGAACCGAAATTCTGGGAATTCTGGAAGACGCCTGCTGGTGGATACGCCTCGCCGGTTCCTCAACAAAACGAGGGAAGGGATTACATTGGCAAGCAAGGATCCGAGAAACGCACGGTCTGGCAGAATATAAAAGGCCTCCTCCCTTTCACGAGCGAAGGAGCGATAGAGGAAGGCAACTACCCTGCCGTCTACTTTGATCAGGACTACAAGGAGGATGAGGAAGAAACTCAGGCAGAGTGGGCAAAATATCTTCGGAAAAAGGATCGTCCCACTCATCGATTACCACCCTGGGGTGTATCGTGGCTGCCTGGCCTCCCATTGTTTAACAAAAAGGTCGATACCATTTATTGGTGCCGAAAAGAACTGGCCCGACTGAACATGGAAATCGAAGAAGATCAGCAGCACCCCGAGCGATTTCCCCTAATGAATTCGGCCTTTATACAGTTCAACCACCAAGTAGCTGCTCACATGGCTTGTCAAAGCATCATTCACCATATCCCCAGACATATGGCACCGCGGGTCAACGAAATTTCTCCTCGCGATGTTATTTGGAGTAACATGGCTCTTTCGTGGTGGCAAGAATGGCTTCGCACCGGTGCTGTCACTCTCATTGTAGTGGCCATGATTATCTTGTGGGCTATTCCCGTCGCCTGGACGGCCGCCTTGGGTCAACTGGATCAGCTTATTCAGCAGACTTCTTGGCTTGCTTTCCTGAGAGATAACTCGGCGCTTGAGAATGCAGCCAAGGCTGTCGCTGGTGTTCTTCCGGCTGCGGTGCTTGCTCTGCTCTTGTTCCTTGTGCCGGTGATCTTGAACGTTCTTGCGGAGATCAAGGGTGCCAAGACGGGAGCTCAAAAGTCGGAATTTGTGCAGATCTTTTACTTTGCCTTTCTCTTCGTTCAAGTTTTCCTGATTGTCTCTATTGCGTCCTTCTTTGCTGCGTCTATTGACAAGCTTGTCGACAACATCACGCAGCTCGATTCGGTCAAGGCTGTGCTGGACCTGCTTGCCACGAATCTGCCAAAGGCTGCCAACTATTTCTTCTCTTACATGATTCTTCAAGCCATGTCTACGAGCTCTGGTACGCTGCTGCAGATTGGAGCCCTGTTTGTGTGGTTCATCTTGGCTCGGCTGTTCGACAGCACCGCGCGTAGCAAGTGGTCTCGAAACACGTCGCTGAACGATGTCAACTGGGGGACGTTCTTCCCTGTCTACACCAACTTTGCTTGCATCGCCATCATCTACAGTGTTGTTGCACCGCTCATTTCAGTCTTTGCCGTCATCACATTTGGGCTCCTCTGGTTCGCTCAGCGCTATTCCATGCTCTACGTTACTCGGTTCGAAGTCGACACCGGTGGTGTGCTGTACCCTCGGGCAATCAATCAAACTTTTACGGGCATCTATGTCATGGAGCTTTGCCTAGCGGGATTGTTCTTCATCGTGGTGGATGACGAAGGCGTTCACACTTGCACGCCGCATGGCATCGTCATGATTGTTGTGCTGATTCTTACCATTCTCTACCAAGTTTTGTTGAATATCTCGTTTTCGCCTCTATTCCGATATTTGCCCATCACGTTCGAAGATGAGGCAGTACTACGTGATGAAGCCTTCCAGCGTGCTCAGGACCGCCGCTTTGGGCTTCTTGATGAGTCGGACAATGAAGGCGATGAGGGCGATGGGGGCGATGGGAGACAAGGCGGTACAGCAGAGAAGACCTCTACCTCGATGGAGAGCGGTGAAGACATTGAATTGAGCAACATCCAGCACACAGGAAGGGGCAAAGTAAATGTTCTCGCCAACCCTGTGAAGAAAGTGGGGACTTGGGCCAAGGGAGGCGGGAAACAAGTAGGATCCTGGGCCAAAGGGGGCGGCAACCAACTGAAAAAGCTTGCCATGATGGAGACCAATTCTCAGGCGGCCGAGTACCGACGAAAACAGCGAAGCAAAGATATCGAGGCCCAGCGCGCCATTGGAGAAGCGCTATTCGGGGGCATCCACGACGAAATCGAGGATCTTACCCCTGACGAGAGAGATCTCCTGGTCCGACATGCCTTTCTCCATTCGGCACTGCGAGCACGTCGACCTGTTGTTTGGATTCCTCGCGACGACCTGGGCATTAGCGATGACGAGGTCCGCCGGACGAAGGAGTATAGCGAGCATATATGGATCAGTAACGAGGGGACGGCGCTGGACAGCAAAGTGCGTGTGGTGTACGGCCGATACCCGCCGGACTTTTCTGAGGTTGATTTGATTAATTTGTGAGGATGGTTTTACCTGTCATGGAATCATGATTCTAAGCGTGGCGTTTTAAAACGTATTTTTTTTGTTTTGTACTATTATGAGAGAGAGTGTATGATGCAGGGCCCGGTTGCAATTTGCTTCATGGCGTTTACGAAACTGCGTATGAGGTTATCAGAATACCCTTGGGGAGGAGATTAATAGAGTTGAGGTGGATTTGATCAATATCAAATGAAGGAAAAGATTCCCAAGTCCCCAATGGGGCTTGATCTTTAGTTAGGGGGGAGCTTATATAATATTAAGAGTATTATCCTTTAATGGCCATTTTCCAATTGTAGATACGGAGAATTAAAGTGAATTGAATCGATATATATTCCAAATGTGGTATTGTCCTTGTGTGGAATCTGCATACAAAACACCCTTTGTTCGCGATGGGAAAATCAGCCCTAAAGACGCCTTGCTGATTTGGAATCTATAGTGGCATTGCTCTGGTCGCTGGCGCGGAATGACGGCACTCGAGTTCGAAACCCCGCAGCTGACAGCGAAATGCGGCCGTCGATTGAAGCTGCTACAGGCTAGGCCTAGGATCTTGGTATTAGAAATCAAGGGGGGCGTTTGGGTCTTGTTTGGAGAATAGCTTCCCCTCTTCTTTTATGCTGGAACAGTGAATTGCGGTGTTATAAAAGAAAATAGATTTCCGCTTTGGCATCTTGACTATTCTTGTTTTCGATTTCACCTCATTCAAATCCCTACTAGTCATCTATCACTTAATCAATCCTTTCATTCCACCGAGTCTCATCGAGTACCCAGCATCTATCTTCACTCAATCACTCTATAAAAAAAAACACCGCCAAAATAACCTTTCTCAGCAAGCTCTTCAGTCCCAAAATGGGCAAATCAGTAGTTTCCAAGAGCGGCCACGCCACGGCCCGCGTCAACGGCACCGTCATCGCCGAAGCGACTTCCTGGATGGAGACCGAGGGCAACGTTTACTTCCCGCCGGAGAGCATCAAGAGCGAGTACTTTACAGGGACGAGCCAGAACAGTTTTTGTCCATGGAAGGGGGAGGCGAGCTACTATACCATTAATGCTGGTGGTGAGTTTTGTCGGCTTTTGAGCACATGGTGATTGGATGGGGGACTGGATATTGATTCGTGTGTTTTGAAAAATAGGACAGCAATTTGATAATGCTGCGTGGTATTATCCGCAGCCGTTGGAAGGAGCTGTGGATTTGAGGGACCATGTTGCGTTTTGTAAGTGACTTTCACGATGATGATGATGATGATGATGGGGAATGTAGCTTGCTAATTTTGAGAGACAGACAAGAACAAGGTTGAGATTACCGCCAACTAAGAAGGATGAATGTTTAAACATAGAGCATGAAGAGCGATTGTGGGAACAGCAGTACACAATAAAGCGTTATTATATGTCATTTGTTGATGTTGAAATTTATATTATTTTTACAAACCATTGCAGTTTGCTAAGTAAACATATTTTTCTGTAAAACCGCTTCTTCCAGTACATATATATGTAACGCATGTAATAGATACAGGCAACTATATGCCGTGTTGTGAAATAACATCAAAGAAATATAAAAAAAAATCAATAGCACGCCATATATAGCTCGGTATTCCTACACACAAAACATCGTTCCCAATTAATCCTTTCCAGTCGTTCAATCTCCAACGCCATGTATCATATAAAAGTAGTTTGTCGCTCTAATAATGCATGCCGAACACTCTAAATGTTTCGAAAACGCCAAACGAATAGCAATAGTAAAAAGCCAAGGCAAAATGTCTATGATGATGATGATGCCGCTGCTTGCTTGCGCTTTTCTGTCTCTTTGACATCTTCCATCTCCTTTCTCATAATGTTGTTGAAAAACTCGGCGTTGTCAAGGTACAGATGGTGACCCGCCTTGGGGACGATGACGACCTTGCAGCTGCCGTTTTCGTTGCTCTTCTCTTCCTCTGTGCCGGTTCGCATGACGTTGGCCTTGACCTGCTTGAGCTTCTCCTCAGCCGCAAGACCGCCGGCAACGTCCATCCAGTCGTTTTCTCCGTACATGAAGACAACGGGGATACCAGTCTCTTTGGCGACCGTCTCGCCGTCGGGTCCCTTGATTGGCTGTCGGCCAACGTCCTGGATGCGGTTGATCACCGGGCGGCGAGCGAATGCCCCTGGAGCAAGGATATACGCCAAAGCGTATTCGCCGCTGCCCTTCTGCTTGAAGATGGAGAATGAGTAGTCGTGGAGAGTTTGGGCCTCCTCGGTGGGGAGGTGATTGAACCGTCTGGAGGTCCAGCCGGAAACGAATCGCGGACCGAGGGGACCGGCCAACCGAACAATGCTAAAGGGCGATACATTGGCGTCCCAGAGCCAGACGAGCCAGTTGGGATAGGGGCGCTTTGGTGCGACAGCAGCGTCTGTCTTGGTTGTGGTCTGCTGGTCTACAGTGAATTCGTTCTGCATTGTGGACTCGCCAGGCTCGGGCAGGGCAGAATTGACGGCGTATGGATCTTCTGGAATTCCAACAGGCGAGGCAAGGATGAGCTTCTTCAAGTGGCCAGGATACTTGAGAGCATACGAAACGGCGAGGTAGCCACCCAGAGAGTGGCCCAGCAGCGTGAAGCGCTCAATCTTCCTTGCCTTGCGCCACTCCTCTAGAGCATCGATGAAGAAGTTTTCTGCTTCAATAACTTTAGCCTCCTTGTCCTTTGAGTGGATCTTGAACGGAGGCCTGGATGAGTTGCCCATGCCCAGCATGTCGAGGGCATATAGCTTCAAGCCGGGGATTCTGGAAATGGGCTCAAAGTTCTTGTAGAAGAAACCGAGGCCAGCGCCGTAGCCGTGGACCATGACGAGCGTCTCTTCGGGCTCCTCGCCAACCCGCTCAACAGAGAATTCATTGAGGGCGCGATTCTTGCCGGAAAGCTGGACCATCGATCGTCTCCAAATTCTAGCGCCAAAGGAGTCGGTTTGATCGGTGGTGGAGAGGCTGGCCATGCTGGTTGTGGCCTCTTTAAGGAATGGAATGTGCTTGAGCACATTGCGCTCGGCCATGGAAGGCGTAACGCTTGACCACTAGAATTTCAACGGTGAGAAGAGAACAGGAAAACAAAGCAGAGAAGACAAAAAGAGCCAGAACATACCCATTGGTAGGCAGCCTCCTTGTATCCCAGAGGAAAGTATGCGCCCTTCACCTGCTGGGGCTTCCCCTGGCGCAGCTCTTCAGTCGCCTCAGGGGGCGGTTGAACGCGGATCGCATTCTCGGTGGTGGACATTCTGGACACGGGATAAGCAGGAGACGCTGTGGGTGGCGTGGTTGCGGTGTTGAGGGTGAGGTTGAGTCGCGATCGGTGCAGAATCGCTGTGACGGGTTGAGTTTTGAGCATGCCTGAGGAAAAGAAACTTTTTTGGGGGCAGCTGCACAGCTCTTATATCAAGCCTCAGTCACGGCCCCAGGCACCCGCGTCTGACAAACGTCGTCGACTTTGTGGCCACGCAACTGGCTTATCTCTTTTGTGTCGCAAGGCGGCCGGATTTGGCGCTGGCGGAGGACGACGGAGTTTAGAAAACCTTAGACTCGGGGTTTGGGCAATCCGGATTCCGAGAGTGTAAGTGACGACAGAGTGTGGCGCACGCAATGCAGCGAAAATGAAGGAGAAATGAGATGCAAATGCCTTGCTTGATGCAGGAATATATTAGGTATATTATAAGATTGGCATTGGGCCAAACCAAATTGTTGATCTGGCAAAAAAGACGCCAGCTTTACACCGACGTTCGATTTGCCTCCTCTCCTGTCCTGGTCACGGAGCACATGTCCCTATTTCTTAGCGCTAGGGGTCCATGGTTAGGGATTAGGGGCTGTTTTTTGTTGAGCTCGGCGGGCCTTCAGTGGCGGGTGACCTGCAGCTGGTCCCTGCTAGAGGGCAGAGTCTCGTCTTCAGGGCCTGCACGTGCCCAGGATTTGGCACTGAAAGATCACTGAGATGGCAGCTACGAATACGGAGTGGATAAAAATCCATATGGATCTCTATTCGAGCAGTCCATCGACCAATCACTGCTGCATGATCCAGCCACCACGTAATACACTTGACGGGACGTGCTGATGCTGCTACGGGCTATTACTGGCAATAGTCCGGAATGACCGACTCGATAATGTTTGCACCGGATTCCGAGCTGCGTGCATCTCAACGGGTTTGTTGGTCCCTGCATGCAATGATTGGCCACGTAATAGACCGCTGCGCTAAGAAGGAATAAATAATCAGCTGAATGATGCAGAATAAGAGGGCAAGTTTGGCCGTGAGTAATCTAGCTAATTGATAACAATATTACTGGGTTACTATTACTGTTACACATCACTTCACTTATTCAAAGAACTCGCTTCATCTTTTGGGCCCGTCTTATATGGACAGCTAAAACTCCGCAAGTGACTTAAAAGGGACTGATTGGGGCAGTCTCTGGCATGTGATCCCCGCTGACCTGATTTTCCTTGTTCGGAAGATCCACCGCTAAATCTCAGACTTGCACTCGCGTGCGACAATCTCCGCCAAAATCTTTGAGATGTGCCGCCCGTTTAAAAAAAGATAACGGCTGCTGCCGGGATTCTCCACTTGCATGAAATCCAGCGCCGACACGGCCCTGTCCGGAACGGCATTTAACAAAAAGAGAGAAAATAAGGTATTAGATCGATCTGCCATATGATTCTATGCCAATGCCTCCATGTAGATGGAATAATATCCGTCGTTCAGATTTAATAGAGCCTCCCGCCTTCCTATTTCTAGTCTCGCGGCTGAATTTCGTGTAAGTGATGGCATGGCCTATATTAGATGCATTTTCAAATTCGATATGTTCACATGTAATTTGGCCTATGCCGCTTGCAAATTGAGTATTCACAGTCGTTCCGAGGTGTGTGTTAACCCGTACGTTAACCAACATGCGATATCTATTCTTATGTAAAAGCTATTTACTTGTACATGTGGTTTATATATAGTATATTATGACGTTACGAAACTATCATGGAATAGAATTGCAGAGAATATCGAGATTGCAATGAAAGACTAAATCTTGCATCAGGGATGCATCAAAACTCGTTAATGGTTGAATAGCTTGTAATGAATTTTTGCAATTTTACATTTATCGGTTTGAGACAAGAGTAACAGGCGTGCTAGAGATATCAACAGCTAATTTGTTCGTTAATTGCTATACGATTGGTATTTATCAGATAAACTTTTGCGGAGCGTTGCTACATCATCTCATATCTGGCGGCTATACTTCTCTCTCACACTTTTTCTTCGACGAGCATGGCATTCGTCGCCAACTTATTTGCCTGCAGTTTTCCTCTTCTTTGCAATCTCATAAAACAGACTTCCGTCGTACATCTTCCGGATGTCCTCCTTCATCATTCGTCCGTCGTCAGGCCAGAGAAGGATGTAAGTTGCAAGCCCTGTATACATTCAGTCAGACCCTTTTCGCATCATGGTTTGCTTCAAATAATTCTGAGACATACACTCCAAAAAGGTTCCTCCCCATCCGAATGGGTCGGCTAGGGCTCTCTGACCCTTTAGCAGATTCCAAACATCTCTCAGAGTGACATAATCCCTGTCGTCGGCGTACTTGGAGAATATATCCTCAAATTTCTGAGGCACGAAGCGTCCTTCATTGTCATATGTTCCGCTATCGCTTCCATGCTTGTCTTTATGGATATTTTGGAGGTAGATGCGAAAAAGGGGATCGGGGAGGTGCCCGGGGACTGTTGGGTAGGAAAAGCCTGCATGGATAATTAAGACAGATAGTAGGCAGAATAGGATATTGAAGCCCAGCGCGCGGAAGCCTCTGAATGTATCTAGCGGCCACACTATGCCGTCTTTATCCTATATGCATGTGAGAAGAGAGCGCGAGGTATAGGAAGTAAGCCGGCGATGCTTACCTGGTCAAAATAATCACAATGCTGCTGCAAAACCTGGACCGAGGTCAACCTGGGCTCTTTAAGGATAGCCTAGTGAATAAGCATACCGTCTGATTTTGATGCTCTCTTGCCCAATTACCTTCCTGTGTGCCTTCGGGGTGCTCGTACGTTGCAGCTATATTAGCCCTAGCGGTTCCTAGAATGCGCATCGCTCAGTTTGGGTACCTCAAATCACCAAATCGCAGGAGCTTATACCTGTATGCGTGAGCTTCACGTCGTCTTCCGGCTGGAGGAACGGCTTCCGCTGGAATGTGACTGGCACGCTTGCGATATGGCTCGTTACCGCATCTGAATTGCTCTTTGAATCTGAATCAATTCCATTCACCAGCGCAGCTTTGTAATCCATTGTGATGTCGCGATATTTGCCTTTGGGACCATGAGGCGAGTGAAGAACGAGATGATTGAGAGGCTACGAAAGAGCATAAGAAATCTAAATATTAAGACCACAGTAATTAAAGAGCTAAGCTCAATGCCATCATTCTCCGCACAAGCTATCTGCGACACGGGTCGAATTGCTGGAAGCTCTGCGATGACGACATTCTGAGTTCATGATTGGGTTTCCTAGCTATCCCTGTGAGCAATTGAAATGGTATGAATGCGGAAGTGATCATCTCGACGTCACACCTTCACGCACTGCAGTTTTCATTGTTGATGTAAACTAACTCCATATAGCTACAGTATTATGTCAAGCAAATAATTGTTACAAATAATTTACATGTGATAATGACTAAATTTGAACTTCGTATAGAGCCCAAGTTGAATATTATGCACTCTCACCTAGCGAGTTTCTACAGTGCCAACAGCATAATATTCTAACTTAGTTCAAACTTTAAGTGAGCAGCCAAACAATCGTCAATATCATAGGCAATTTATGCTATAATGTTTTGAAGCATATTAATTATGTAATTTATTTAAATACTCATTCGACGTCTTCGCCCGTCTATTGTATGCATGCTAGACTATGGCGCTCATAACCTCTGGCGACATCCCATCTTGCATCAAGGCCTATTCTGCTAAAAAAGAATATGGCAATTTTTTTTTTTTACAAAAGTGTTATTTATTACGAGATAAAAGACGTATCAATTTCGAAAGAAGCTACTTGAATTTACTAGTTTAAGATACGCTGACGAAATGGAATCCACTGATGCCTTGACTGCTTGTTCAGTCTTTACCGGCCAGTGATGCCGCATACGAGCCACTGCACTCTCGTGCTATTCAATCGTGTCGTTTCATGACAGATTTCATGCCCAGAAGTGAGAGCCAGGTAATTCGATCACTATTCATTCCCAGACATAACAAATACTCATGTTCGTTCATATAGAAATTTACTTGCAGACTTACATGTGATGCCGCTGTGATGGCTTCCATTTGCGGCAATACGCGAGGCAGCCAATCACAGCGCCGGCTTGACGAGGCGACACTGCTTCGCCCCACAATGCAGAGACACTCGGCCCACCACCGCGCAACTCTTCCAGGCAAGGCTGAGCACCCGCCTTCGTCCATCAGCTCCATCCTTTCCATCCTCCCATCCCCCGGCCGAACAGACCCGCGACTTCTCCCGCCGCCGCTTCCTCGTGCTTGCTGAGCCTCGAGCCTCTGCCGGCGGCTGCCCGCAACACCATGGCCGACGACCTCGACTCCATCGTCAAGGGGGCGCCGACTGCCAGTGCTGCCGCCGCCACCAGCGATGCCAGCGTCGGCGACAGCGCCAGCGCCAAAGCCGGCACCAGCCCGTTCCCCCCTGTGCAGGGCCTGGGCAAGCCTGGCGATCCGCTGCATCACACGCCCAGCTCCCCGTCCATGATATACCTGAATCTCCTCATCCTCGAAGCCTCGCTGCGCGCGCAGTTCCTGGAGCTGCGTGCCCGGAAGCGCCACCACACCTTCTTCCTCGCCATCCTCACGCTCTGGGTCGCATTCTTCGCTTACAAGCTATACTTTGCCCCGCGGGAGGATGGCCGCGGCGTTGGAGGGTCGATATACTGGGCGGTGGAGGGCGCACAAAAGGTGTGCTTCATGGGCGGAATCATCACTGCCGGTCTCGTCTGGGCCACAGGCATCTGGGAGCGCGGCATTCGGTGGCCGCGCCGCTGGTTCGCCATATCCAACCGAGGCCTGCGCGGCTTCAACTGCAAACTCGTCATAATCCGACAGACATGGTGGGCCGAGGCGCTGTCGACCATCGGCTTCTTCCTCACCTACGGCCTATTTTCGCATACGGCCAGTTCGTCGTACCGCCTCGTCGAGCCGCAGCTGCTGCGCCAGGTCGAGAAAGAACTCCAACTTACGAGCGATAACCATCCCACCTTGGTTCTTCCCCCCGACGACGATGAGTTTGGCGGTCACGAAGAGGACTTGGCCCCCGGCGGCGACTACGTCAAGTTGCTACTTTTACCCAAGCCGTTTTCGCCTACTTTTCGTGAAAACTGGGAGCTATATCGCACAGAGTACTGGGAGAGGGAGAATGAACGCCGGCGATTGCTACGGCAAAAGGTCAAGGAACACTCCAAGAAAATCGCAAAGGAACAGTATGGCTGGTTATGGTGGCTTCCCTGGCATCAGAATCCACAGCCTCGCGTGCGCCGTGAGCCGCAGAAGATGGTCCATCACCGTATAGCGAGCAGCGCCGAACGCAAGCGTAGGGGTAGCAGCGTGCGCCGCTCGTCAGTGAGCTCGTCGAGAAGCCCGACACCTCAAGTCTTCGACAGCGACGGCCAGACCCCGCGCAAGCAGAGCCCCATCTCGGAGAAACGCCGAAAGCCGGCAGGGTCAATATCTAAAGTAAAGAGGCCTGGCGGTGATTCTAGGTCAGTGACGCCAGACGTACCGTCACGGCTGTCTAGGGAGAGCAGCGTAACTCTTGATACAGAGACGGATGGCAGCAGTGGGCGGACACTACGGAGCGCGAGTAAAAGGGCCAGTCCAGTGCCTTTATCGCCTGACTGATTAATGATGCCAAGGACTAAATGATGGGCATTACTGGAGATGGGACATGATATAAGACTTTGACTTTTTCTGTATGCGTGACGAGATCATATACTTTATTATGAAGCTTTCCAGTCCGTGTAATTACGCCGTGTTTCTTATTGCTCTCTTGGATAAGACTTCTCATATAATACAATAAGCGATGAAATTCATTACTCCAGGCTATCCTTTCCTGAGCATCCAGTGATAACGGTTCAAAGTTGGATCATCTCTTATGACTCACGAAGAACAAAAATGTGCCAGAATTGCCTAATTAGGAAGTTGAGCGCGCCTAGCTAGCCGCTGCTATTGAGGATCTTTTGCCTCTGACTCACTATGCAGGATAAAAAAAAACGGCTATTTTCTGCTAATCTTGGCATCTCTTATAAAACGAACGTATCGAAAATATGCAAAGGATTCCAAACGGATAGTTCTGCTGCTAGATTCGCACACTAGTCTGCTTGTGGATTTGCTTCCGCTGAGGCTACTTCTTATAAATGTAAATAGACAACCTAATAGGATGAGCACTGATTTGCGATTCACAGTCTCTACAATTTACTGTAAATGCAATTTTAACCCAACTCCTCTCATAACATATACTCTCAACTACTTACATCATCATCATGGCAACCGAAACATCTCACCTCAACACACGCATCCCCTCATCCTCCAACCCCCTCCTGTTTCTCCGCACCATCCAGCCCTCCGATGCCTCAGCCTTCGCCTCCATTCTCTCTTCCCCATCAAACAGAACCGACCCTCATGGCAAGGACATGGACATTGCAACAGCAGAGGCAGCCATCTCCCGCATGCGAGAATCAGCAAGTCAGCCCACCATCGTCGACGCTCAGGGAAATGTCACCAGCGGACCAGACCGCGTGAACATGATGCTGGTGCTCAAATCAGAAGAGAACAGTCATGAAGAGACCGTAATAGGGCTGGGAGGTTTCGGGGCGATTAAAAACTGGGAACGAGAGGGGCGCAAGATTCGAGCGGGAGATGTAGGCGTCATGATGGACCCGGCATATAAACGCCGCGGCTACGGCATTGAAGCTATGAGAATGGCAATAAGCTGGGCTTTTAGTGCAGCCAGTGAGGGAGGGCCTCAGCTAGATCTAGTGACTATCACGACGTTGGAGGATAATGCCTCGATGCTGAAGCTCGTGGACGAGAAGCTTGGGCTGGGGGGAAAGGGGATCGCAAGACCGGCGGAGTTTGATGAGAATAAGCAGGAGATCTACTATGAACTGCGGAAAGAAGATTGGGAAAATATTAACAAAAACTAATATACACAGAGAAATGACTAAGAAAAAGAAAGAAAAAACTTCCCGTCTATAATCGACGAACAAAGAAACTCAAAGCACCAGTCTTACTCCATCATCACCATAATCTACCGAGTCATATTCTCCCAGACCAATATAATCACAGAGTCGATATTCTCAGGCCCAGGTTCACCAACAGCCTTATCAATATAAGCCTGCCACACCGCACCATCATCACTCATAACCGAATCTGCAAACTCCCACAACCTTCGATTTTCCGTCCATATCAGCTCCGTCCTGTCCACTCCCGCATCGTCGATGATGACTTCATGTGACTTCGACGATTCATCCGTAGCCACGTTATCTATAATGGCCATGGAGCCCTTTGAGTGGTGTTTTACGGTATCATAATGCTCGCTGATGGATACTCCCACAGTGAGAACCCAATTGTCGTGAAACTCGTAACGCTGCATAAAGCACGTATCACACACATTCGTCACCAAATGTGCCACATTCACATCCATTCCGTGCCGGCCCAGTGCGTCATGGAGAACCAGTGGCCGTATGCCACTCTCATAAGCATCCGCATCCAAATTGACCACTTCGATATCCGGATTATGAAAGCCAGGCAAGACATTCATCTTGACATCGCTATCCCACGCGAAGCAACTTTTCAAAAATACGTCCCACCGCTTCGCATGAAAGCGGTCCCTCAGCTCAGGCATCTCAAAGCATGCGAGTTTCGAAAGCGTATCCAACGCAGGGCGAGTGAGAAATACGGCACCGCCGCCATAAGTCGTGGTAGTAGTATTGCTTCGCGTTGCCTCCCAATCATAGTGCTCGCTTGGCAGGCCAATATAGACCTCCTCGTCTGTCTTGTATGAGGCCAGGCGATGCTGTAGATACGAAACGTCGGGAAGGAAAACGTCGTCTTCAATAAGCGCATACCAACGCTTAATTGCGCCGCCGCTGCTAGAAAGAACCGCACCAAAAGATTTGAGAAGATGGGCAAGCTCGTGATATCGACTCGTTAGAGACATCGGCTCTCCTGTAGCGAATACTTGAGAATCGACCCCATTAGTTCGAAGGAGATCTTCAAGCTCCTTTACTTCGTCCTTGTCTGCTTGGTCAAGCATAAGAACGAGACTCGCGCCGTTACTCTTCTTATGGCCATTTGTAAGCCACCGAGTCCAGCTTCTTAACAGCGCTCCCTCTCGATCCATAATCTTGTCGTATGTTGTTGTTATCCCAAACACCAATTCAGAGGCGTCGTAAGATTTCGAACTCAAATCTCCTAAAGCAGGTAGTTCCATCCTATGGGTAACTCTCACGTCCAGCGGATTTGGATGCTCAGTAAACACCACTTTTGCATCTTGGGAGCCAAAGTTGTTGTGCACACTATTTACGGCGGCCCATTTTGTAGAATCTCTAGCATGACGAAATCTCCATGATAGCCACTCCGTCTCATTCGTCAGTTTGAATTCACGACTCAAACGTGCCAGGTATTGCTCTTCTGGCGACAATCCTTCTCCCAGAGAACCAGCCGCGCTGATGGGAAGGACATCGTAATCGGACTCTCGAAACAATTCTAGACTTCTCAAGACGATAAAGCAAATGACAAGTGTAGAAAGAAAAGGAAAGAGTCTGAAATTAGCGTTAGACATCGCCTTTGCAGGCTGGATTGTTGGACTCTATAGAATAAGCAGCGGTCTGGCGTCGCTCCTATCAGCCAGGAATCTGGAGCATCAATGGCATATCCGAACAAGCAAAAAGGAGCACGAAGATAGAAAAAGCAATGGAAAATGGCTACCCATGCAGAGAAGGAAAAGGAAAAGGAAAAAAGAAGAAAACACTCGGCACGTCCCGAGGGGGATCGACCAAATGGCGCGGTGGGTGTTGGAGGGTCTGGCGCCTTTTAAAAAGCGGATATAATTTGCTTCCACGAAGATGATCGGCACCCGTTGCCCCTGTCCGGGTCGTTATCTGAAGCATAATTCGGTGTCTCAACGGGCGGTGATCCCTTTCCAAACAGGCAGGATGACGCTCGGTATAGACCATCAATTTGTGGAACACGGCATGAACAGCGACATGCCTAATTAATATATTTATCTGCGGATCTTGGACGCGAGGCAAGACGATCAATTAGAGTCTGACAACCATATCCGATGGAGACGGCAAACAGACCAAAACGCCCCGCTATCTAATGTTATGTTACAGTACAAAAATCCCTGCGCAGCACTATCTGCGTGGTAAAAAGGGAAGCTCCTTGTTGGTGATCGTCGTCGTACCTGAGCGGTGCGTGTATGACAGGTCTAGCGTCCCAAGCGGATATCCCCAACTACTGTACACCGTCATCATCATTATTTGTCCACCACTGCTTGCATGGTCGGTCCTTGAACAGGTTCAAATTTCTCTTCATGTAACAATAGCCACAGCATAAGGTTAACAAAATGGTAATGATGCTTCGAGTCGAATAAATGTCGCCAGTACATGGTGGAAAGCGTGTCATTCATCTTGGGAAGATGGAGCCGTTAAATGACGAACAATCTTGATTAGAGGGAGGTCGGGAGTGGTCCGTTGGTGGAAGTGGACCGCATCGAAGTAATTAGCATTTTAAACATTACTTTCCAATCATTGGAGTGGGGGTGGAATCTCCACCAGCATATTGCAGAGCAAGCTGCTTTGGTGTAGTCGAATGAGATCCTGACTGAGTCAGCGCGCCTGGTCTTTGGCCCCCTTGTTGAGTGATTCGAGGCATGTAATTTGCTGGCAAGTTCGCAGACACAGTTGCCTTGGCGTCTTGATACAAGTCGAAACATTCGGCGAGAATCTGGTCAGTTGTTTGATTCGCAGGAGCAATGCCGGAGTCGAGGATTTCTTTGATGTGATCTTCCAGTGCTTCAAACTCAGACTTGTCATAGCGGTATCGGTCAGGCAGTCCACTGTTTTGCAAGAAGGCGAGAAGACCAGCAATGATGGTATTTGCAGCTCCCAAAACCGTGATTGGAGTGCCCTGTTTGAAGGACATGGAGCCTAGAGCCGTCAACGTCGCGCCAATGAAGAGCTGCAGCAACATCAAGATCCATCGGATGCCACTTGAAATGTGATACAGGTAGAAGAACTTGGTGCGTTGAGTAACAGTGTCCTTGTACAAGCCTCGAGGCATCCCCTTGGGTGGCCATAGCCAGCTGGTTGGATGGATTGGCTTATGTTGCTCACGGTCTCGAATTCCGCCTATTCCATTAGCAACGATGCCCCACTCAGCAGGTGAGAGGAACCTGTGACGAGGCGTCTGGTGATGCTGGTTATTCTCTGGAGGCCTTTGAGGTCTTGGGCCTGAAGGAATACCAGCAGGGCCGCTTGGGGCCGGAGCCGGAGGCTTGGAAGGGTCTGCATGAGGACCAGGATTGTTGTTGACTCCAACAGACAGAGGCGGAAGTGTCGGCGCATCCGTGATGGGATTGCCCTTTGCTGGCTTGGACATGGTGAGTGATGGAGCCGTGGAGCTGCAGACAAGAAGCAACAAGAAACGAGGAAGTGTTCTTGGGGTCTGCACCAGAGGTCACTACGCGAGGATTTGAGTCCAATAGTAAGCCTATCCCAACCTCTCCTTTCCTAGTGGAGCGAAGAAGTGAGAAACAAGATGAAGAGGAGAAAACATGTCTGTAGGCGAGGTTGAGAAGGAGGAGAGTTTAAGAGGTCGGCTAATTGTTCGTCTATCTCGAAGAAAGAAAGAGCCAGGAAGTTCCGGATGCCCTATTTGGGAACAAATATGCAGGGCTCTTGCCCGCTCCCAGGAATAACATCAAGGGGTACTGCATATGGAGATGCTTAACTTCAAGCTTGGGACGGAAATAGGCGAGGCAGGTACGGGCTTTTCTCGCAATCTGAGATACTTAGGCGAAGCCATACAAAGAGAAGCAAGACAGGTCTGGCACTTATATAGATGGAAGAGAGGACTGCAACTGCAAGACTCCGTTAACTCTGATGTGTTTGCCATGGTTTAGTAGGTGCGGCATGCATACCTATTTATTTATTTGGCCATGACTTGTCTATGATATGGTAGCGTAGTGATATATCCAGGGTGAATTTGTGCCTTGAGTAGATCATGTGCTAATTGTGCGATATGCTTCCTTCAACAGACTGACTTATACTGTTACTTGCAAAATGTATCATGACATTTCAACGGATAAATATTATGCGCAGTTTTGGTTATAATATAAAATTGTGCAACAAATGTTAGATAATTTTCGTGAAATTCTTTTCGTCATGTCTTAAATACCCACGCAGTTGGGGTATTGCCTATATAACAGTTCCCCATGCTTTTTTCCATCTTCAAACATTCTGCATACAACAGCCGTCACTTTCCCAAACGACCTTACAAAAAAGGAGTATAAACCAACATGTCTATACGTACCATCCCGACCTACCACCCAGCGCCAAACTTCTCGATACCGCCGCCCGATGCAAACGGGCCTTTGCGACTCGGCACGCTTCTTGTCGACTTACACGACCCTACCCCGCTGAACCCCGCCGATCGGGTCCAGATACCAGACGAGGACATCTTTCGAAGCCATCTTGTTGGCTTTCGAACGAGAAAGCGACAACATGGCAATGGAGAGATGGGCATCTTCGCAAGGCTGCTGGGCTTGGAGGGCGTCGGCAGTATGCTGAGCGTCAATGGCACCCGAGCCAAAGACGAGGTGCTATCTGTGGCCCGCCTGGACACCGAGTTCTTCATGCCGTCCCTGGAGTATGTCAAGCTCGCAGTTGAGGCCCCTTCAGTACGCGCCTTTTGCAGAGCCACTCGCGGCCGACTGCCGATGTTCTTGATTACTGGAATCAAGGTCGCGCGTGGTGCATCAGCGTCGGTGGTGCGTACACGGACCGTGGGCGGAGGTGTAAAGGGGTCCCCAGGCACTACAACTGGCCAGGTCGAGCTTGGAGTCAGTGTTCAAGGTGCGATGCTTAAAGAGGACGATATGAGTTTCGAGGATGCGTCGGACTTTGTGCTGGCTTATCGCGTCGCACGGGTAAGGATGAAGAATGATGGGGTGCAAGCGCAAGCGTATACTCGCGGTGCTACCATGCTTGCAGATGATGCGCAGGATGTCATCGATTGGGACAGTGGAGATCTGGAGGTCATTTATGACTTTTCCACAGAGTTTAAGGAGGCAGACAACGTGTTACTTGACGAGACAGGCATAGCAGATCCCGAACCATGTAAGTGGGTGTTGAGGCACGCGTAGTAGCAGATTGAAGTCCTGAGAGACAATGCCTGCAGTTATAAACATAGAGAAAGCTGTCTAAGTGCAGAAGTGTATGGTGTTCATTATTATTTACATTATCTACTTACTTATATATATACCAATGCATTGGGTATCTAGGTCTCCTTAACGCCTCAGAGCATCTAAAATCAATTCTCGAATTAACATGCTTGGCCTGCTCCCGTCCCACAGATTCCAAGGTGCAATGTATTTATATCCATTTTCCGGTACACTAAATAGATCGAAAATTGACCTCATTCCACTACTGGAGTAAAGACGACTTAGTTGTTCAGGAGTCAACGGAACCCTCTGCGGGATGATCGCCAGAGCATCTGCCGCAATTGCCGCTGCCACCGCTGTCGCAAATGAGGTCCCGAACTTGATCACTTCCTTGCCTTTCCATAAAAGGGGAACTGCGGTCCCAAGGGTCATGAAATTATCGTCATTGTCCCAGGCTCTAGGCGATATTCCCCCGTCCTTCCCCTTGCCGTTCGAGGCATGGATGCATAGCACGTTGCGATTTCTGCCCGGATATGCCCGTGGCTTATTGTTCCCATCATTCCCTGCTGCTGCTAGTATGATTTTACCCGCCGCTACGGCCTCGTTGATAGCGAAGTCGAGTCCCGAATCTAGTACATCCAGGCCGAGCGACAGCGAAATAACGTCAGCGTCTTGCGCCACTGCCCAATGTATCGCCTACCATGCAGTAGATAGTTAGCCTCAAATACAAATAAATCCTTAACAAAGGGGGCATTCAGACTTACATCTATGATCAGTTTCGTGTCCTCCTGAGGCATCTCATTTGCGACGGCAACTTTGGCGATACAGAGTTCAGCTTCAGGTGCGAGCGTCTGGACAAGCTCTGCTATATGTGTTCCATGTCCGACCTCGTCGTTAAGATTACGAGGATCTCCTTTAAAGCTCTTCGTTGCTACCAACCTTCTCATTGATTTAGCTCCTATCAAGGTTGGATGTCTCTCATCGAATCCGGTATCGATGATGCAGACCTTTACCCGCTTAGATAGATTCTCATGGCTATCCATGTGATTTTTGGGGAGCTGTGAGTCAAGGAACGATTGCATTTTTACGAGAAAGTTCCGAGATAAGGATACGTCCCTAAATACTTCGTATCAACCTTGACTCTCTCCTTTCAAGCTGACAATGTGACCTTACCTGGCATCTGCGGTGGCTATATCAGGTTCTATGTCGTCAAATATCTGGGAAAAAACCGAGGAAGTGGAAGAAGAAGTATCGATACTGCTGGAATCTGCACGTAAGCTGGATCTAGTTGCCATTGTACTTTTGGAGATAGTACACCGTAATCCGACTCGGGCGCGTTTCAATGTCTGCTCAAATCCTTGGTCTTCAGTAACAACAGTTGCTTCGGGTTGAAAGCTTGACCATATGTGGCTATCAGGTTTCTTAGAATCTTCGGATGTAGTAGCTGGCGTATCCCCGAAGCCTCCTGCGTAACCATCTCGCACTTGTTCATTGTGAGACTTGGCCATCTGAACAGCAAATACATCAGCTGAAGGAGATGAATTCAGCGCTGGGTTTACTGGTGGTCGAATATCGCTGCGTTTTCGTTTCCTATTTGGCTTACGATAGTGCTCATAGTCTTTCTCTAGGTTCGCAACTATTGCATCATAAATGAGCTTTGCGGATTCCGCTGCCCTTTCTTCTGGTGCCAATTCGACAATAGATCGATGCAACTCGAGGCATCCCTCGATTGCCTTGAGATAGTCTTCGCATGCAGAGAGCATTCCATCTTCGCTAAGAATTTTGTCAAGAGTCAGCCAGAGACTTGGCTGCCCACGTCTATTGCACTCTGTAGGAGTGATCTGCCTGCCTAGCTCCATTTCCACGAGAAGCTTTCCCAAAGAAAGAAACGAGGAATCATGTATCATTATGCCTAAATCATCATTTTTTTTAGATGGGTCACATTTCGGACCACAACGGATATAAGGTGGTATCTCGAATTCGAGAGAGCTCGAGGATTCGGTGGCTGAGAGTAGAAGCGAGATGGTGTCAGCAGACCAACTGCTGTCTGTCCAAGGACAATCGAAAAGATATAGAAAACACCATGCGAGGTTCAAAGAGAGTTCCCTCTTTTCCTGTATTGTAAAACTGCTCAAGGAGAGCGAGTCTGACCGAATTGGCGAAAAGCGCTGTCTTTCAATTAACTCCTTCAATGTTTTCACCTGCACCATAGCCCGCCTTTGAGCACGATTCTGTTCTCTTGGTTGTTTATAAAGGGCTCCTTCGGATAAAAGAAGAGATAGAATATCGTTATAAGTCTGTGCAATCGCGATATCTTGGCAGAGACTTTGTAAGGGTTTTAGTTTTCCCTTCTTTTGCTCGCCTCGAGACAAGCTACTAGTCCACTTTAGATTAGCTCTCTGTTGTGAATCTGTTTACAGGCAAAAATCAACATACTCATCAGGTAAACATTCAATCTCTTGCCATCCTATAGGATCTCTGCAAGAGGATAGGAGTAAGGAAATGAACGAATTCATTCCAGCGTGCCAGCTTTGTCCGGCTCCCTGCAGGAGCATATGATGTTGATCTCGTCTTTTGCAACAAGCCATATGTTGCTCCAAGCTCACAAGAAGTGCGTCTATCAGTGCCCTCTTATTTTCATTAAGAATTATACCAGTGAGTTTAGGGCTTTCTGCTGCTGGAGTTGCTTCGCGGAGATGAGTCCGGAATATAGATTCTATGTGTTTGTTGAACGATGTAAGTGCCGAGAGAAGTAACTTAGTATCGCTCAGTGACAGCAACTCGAGCGAAGTTAAGTCAGCTCTGGCGCGTCCCATTTCACTTTTGTCGCCAAATGCCTGTAAGCCAAGAAGATTCTGAATATACAAGAGGGAGAGGTCATCGGGCAAAATTTGCAACAGAACTGGATAAATCTTTTTGAAAAGCTCAATGATTTCCTTTTTGAAGTGATGGATTATTTCTTGGTCCATGTCTGGACTAGTTGGTGAAAGAACGAGCTTCTGGAGCTCGTAGCGGAGAAAATCGTATTGGGCGGCGTGCGGCATAACTTCACTTATGCCTCTTTCTTCTATTTTGTGCTGAACTGCCTTTAGGAGGCGTGGCTGGATTGTCTGTATGACTCGCCATTCCTCAAGGTCGACAAGACGCATTCGTGCCTAACGTGCAGACCCAACTTATGGGGGGGAGACAAACAGGTGTTGTGGTTTTTTTTATATTGAGGAAAAAAAGAAAAAAAGAATGGTGGAAGACCTCTTGACAGCTTTGTAAGTCTACCACAGGGAGCTTCTGTCGAGAACCACTGCCATCAATGTTCAGCGCAAGAGATGAAGAAGATGAAGACCAGGTGTATCGATTTCAGGCTGGAAATTTGCTCTAGTTCAATTCATTTGCAGCTTCATCGGGTTACTTCAAGGTGGAAAATATTAATGCACGTGATTTCGGCATGCATGTTGGATGTCATTGGTAGGTAGAGCCTGATCCTCTTCTGTCTATTAAGGCTGAGAATATGCTCTATCATGAGGGAAATCCGGTCCACGCCAAAGAAGGATGGAGGGCTTACAAGAACGGTCAAAAATATATTATGCTGCCTTAGACTGCGATCAGCTATTTGACAAATGCTTCAAACAAATCGCTGAACCGAGGACAAGCAGCCTGCTTGGCGAATTCGGTATCGCTATCAGCCGGCTCACAAGAGATCATCAAGCCCGATTTCAGGCGTGGTCGTCATATCTGGGGGTATTCGCTGAGCAGGATGTTTGCCTCGATCGCCGCTTGTCTAGGAGTAAAGATGTCCAAGTCATGGTAATGGATCTCCTTCGTATCATCGCTGTTAATCTGCGACATGGTCAGTCTCTGTTAGATCCGCGAACTTGAATAATTGTTAAGTTGCTTCACAGTCTTATCCATGGTCCAAATAAGCGAAGGTAGTAACCATAATGTGGCCCTAGTGGAGTAAAATCGATTGCTAACTCGAAGGTCAGTATCAGGCCATACTAACAATCTCGCGACCGACCTTGGACAAGCACAAGAATCTGTCGAGGGGGCTATTGATCGGCTGCACCGACTTGGCGTGACCATCCGACAGTCTTCGACCGCTAGCTTGATATCCAGGGTGAAAGCTTTCTCCGCAAAGATGTCAGATGCGTCTCTAGAAGAAATGGCATTCTTAATAGTCAAATTCCTCTATCCAGCGGCACCCTTGAGCCTTCAACGCCTTCTCGGCCGCTCCATTCTTGAGCGCTATTTCAATCTCAAGTATCGTGAAGAACATCAACGGCGCTTAGCAACCCGTCGCTCAATCATCTTAGATAATGAAGAAGAAGACCAATCACGCATCCATGACGGAGGACCGGAACTGCCAAGGCCCATCAATCGAAAGGACAACATCTACGATAGGGACATGAAAATCGACGACTCTACAGGTCAAGTGGTAGATTCAGACACAAAGCTTTCACAGTCGGGAACGAAGCCGTCAACGCTCCAGGCAGATGAGTTCCAGCGGAAGAGGGAAGCTGAAAATCGGCGTGCAGCTTTGTCAGCTATTTCTAGAACGTCTTCGGTGCCCATTGGTGATATCAGCTACCCTAAGCCACCGAAGCCTTCGGGAGACGGAGAATGTAGTCGAGCTATCTGCCCCTGGTGCTCTGAGTCTCATCCATATGGTAACTTTCAGAATGAGAGGTGGTGGAGGTATGCTTCAGATATCATGACGCCTTTTGATAGAGTCGCTAATGCCTTGAAAGACGCCATGTCGACCACGATTTTCGGCCATATATATGCCTATTCGATGCGTGTTCAACATCACTCAACGCATTTGATAGATTCGGCCACTGGCTAAATCACATGGAAGAGCGTCATTCAACGACTTGGATCTCAACGATCGATTCTAAAACCTTGTGGCGATGCGACATTGAGCATAAGTCACCAGAACTGTTTAGCGACGAGGCTGCTTTGAAGGACCACATGCGAGAGCACCATCTTGAATCATTCACAGAATCCCAGATAGTGGGTATAGCTCGCCGAAGTTCAATTCGTATCCCCGGATCCAAGGATGTCTGTCCTCTTTGTGGCTTTGATGCGAATAAAGCCCCTCCTGTCGCATGTCAATCAAATAATTCACAGCACCCTTCGCAGAACAAACGAAAAAGAGTGTCAAAACACACTATACGAGCAAATATGAATGCCGACGTTAAAGGGAAGCGTAGGAAGGTTCACTTTCATAATCAGGCAGAGAGCAGTAGTCATGAATTATTCAGTTCATCTGAATCAGATTTGGATCTGACAGGTGGTCCAGACATCGAGCCGATTTCGCCCCAAATCAAGGCTCGATTGCAACGAAAACAATTATCGCGACACATAGCAACGCATCTAAAGGCTCTATCGTTTATGTCACTCCGTTTTAAAGCTTTCCAAGAGCAAGTCGAGGAAGGAGACTCAAGTTCTACTACAGGGGATGACCAGGAGGACACAAACGAAGGTGGCGAACCAAGTGGGCTCGATACAGAACTCGACGCGTTGTCTCTCAGTTTCAGTGACAACCCAGGCTCCCCAGTATATCTTACAGATGACTTGATTAAAGATTTCAACGAACATCAACAATTCCTAGAAACTCTTCATTCACTAACGATGTATGAAGAAGAAGAAAAAGAAGAAGAAGAAAAAGACCAATCACACGTTCATTATAAAGGGTCGAAGCTGTCAATGCCCATTCCTCGAAAGGACTTCGTCGACGATACGGATTTGAATTCCGAGAATTTTGAGCCATTAGCTCTCCAGGAGGATGTATTTCAGACATCTTCTACATTTTTTGGCAGTTCTGAAGCTCCTTTCCCGGAGCTTGATTTCGTTGGTCTTGACACATTAGAATTAGACGATGACTCCCATAATCCGAAGGACACCAACACTATATGCTTGCCATATATGTGGTCCGTCACAAGGGAAGATATTCTAGATCACCAGAAATCTGCAATGTCTGGTCCAGCAAGTCAAACAAGCAGCACATGTGGAGTATTTGATATTCTCGAAGCACCCATGTAGCCTCCAAGTTACGTCCTGTGCCAGAGTCTGCGGTACCACCAATCCTTGAGCCTCGCCCGCTTCAGATTAGACATTCCCTTCCATCTGAGTCAGTTGACTCTTTACAGCAGTCTTGGAACATACAGGATTTTCATGAAATAGATCCAGGATTGGAATTTCCTTCATCGAAGACAGGATAAACCTACTAGCTTGAGACCAATATAACATTTTACCACATCTGTTGGCCTTAATATCAATTATTAATGGGCAGTAAAGAGCAATTATGTTTTTGATAGCGATTTTTCAATAATAAGAGAATGAGCTGTTGAATATCTTTTGTTGATATATATTATGAATTAAAGCGATAAGTAGTACGATATAAACATAAGGTTACATACCTAGTATCTATGATAAGGACGTTCATAATAAAACAAATACTACTATTCCGTAGTCTACGTAGGTATTCTGTACATACATGAAGTCCATCTCTAGCTCTGGATGACGAAGTGGGTGGTGGGGCCGGTACACTTCACCGCCTTCACAATGGCCGGCAGAATATCAAAAAATATTGTGGGCTTCTGAGCTCGGCCGGCTTGCAGCTTTTGTCGGTCATTGCAGCTTGTAAAACAGATTACGAGACAGGTTTTCTGTTTCTTGGATATTGATATTGCATGTTTCGCGGTGCCGCTTCTCTGAGGCAACTGCTGCGACTTTCGGGGGCATTGAAACCTGCGGGCTCCTATTCATACGGCAACACACTCGCGACTCAACGCACTGTTAAAAGGCATTCCTTTGCCTCATTTGCGCCAATGGCAGGCACCGTCGAGGTCGAAACCGTCGAGAAGGATGGGAAACAATATCGTTTGGTGAAAGAGGGAAAGGCGACCATTTTGGTGCCCCATGGTGCCAAGATTGGAGAGGACCGAGGAGAAGTGCAACAGGTGTTTTACAACCCCATCCAGCAGTACAATCGAGATCTGTCTGTGCTCGCCATCAAGACATACGGCGAAGAGATTTTGGCGAAAAGGAAGGAAAAGATTCTGGCAAAGTCAAACAAACTAGGGAAGAACAAAAAGCGAAAGCGAGACGAGACGGACGAGGCTGGCCCCTCAGCTGAGACGGAAACGACGTCGACTCTGCCTCCAGGCCAGGCCACCGAAGCTTCGGAGGAGCAAAAGACTCACAAATCAACATTCACGATGCTGGATGCCTTATCGGCATCCGGACTGCGAGCGCTTCGATACGGCCACGAACTTCCCTTTGTCACTTCCATTAATGCCAACGATCTGTCCAAGTCTGCGGCCGAGTCTATCAAGCTCAATGTGAGCCACAACGGCCTCGACGATATAATCTCGGTAACCAACGAAGATGCGCTTGCACACATGTACCGCGCAATCGCAGACGGCCTCTCCAAGAGGGATCGCCACGGCAATCCGTCCAAGTCTCACAAATTTGACGTGATCGATCTGGACCCATACGGAACCGCTGCACCCTTTTTCGACGCTGCGTTACAGTCTGTAAGAGATGACGGCGGTCTTCTATGCATTACCTGCACTGATAGTGCCGTGTGGGCGGGACATAGCTACTGCGAAAAGACTTTTGCCTTGTATGGCGGTACTCCGATTAAGGGGATGCACTCTCACGAGGCTGGACTGCGATTAATCCTGAATGCCGTTGCTACGTCTGGCGCCCGGTACGGGTTGAGCATTGAGCCTTTGCTGTCCCTTTCCATCGATTTTTACACAAAAGTATTCATCAAAGTTACCAAATCACCGCAAGCTGTCAAGTTCCTGGGCTCGAAAACCATGATTGTGTACAGCTGTGACCACGGTTGCTCCGCCTTTGAGACACAATATCTCCTAAGAAGCAAACCGACTCCGAACAAAAAGGGCAGTGGATCGTTTTATAAGCACGGCATGGCGGCAGGACCACCAACAGACAGACACTGTCAACATTGCGGGAACAAGATGCACGTCAACGGCCCAATGTATGGAGGCCACATCCACTCGGCCGAGTTTATTGAAAAGCTTCTTGAACAAATCCCCAATGCATCACCGGAAGTGTATGGAACTCTCCCAAGATTGGAAGGCATGCTACGAACGGCCTTGGAGGAGATCATTCCAGGCCCCGAGCCGGATCCCACGGTAGATCCCAAAGACGCCAAGCATGCAGAGATTGACAACTGTCCCTTCTTTGTCATTCCTTCTAAGCTAGCAACAGTGGTGTCTTGCCAGGCTCCCAGCGACGACATGTTCCGCGGCGCTTTAATACATCTCGGATACCAAGTTGGGCGAAGCCACTGCCGACCTGGCAGCGTCAAGACGGATGCGCCTTGGTCTACTCTCTGGTGGATCATGACAGAATGGATTCGTCAAAAGTCTCCCATCAAAGCGTCGAAATTCACCCCGCTGATGCCTGGTTGGAAAATTCTGCATTCCGCCGGATTGGTTGGTCGAGAAGATGGAGCAGTGCCACAGGAAGCCGACAGCGAAATGGAAGATGCCCAGGCAGCAACAACGGCGGATGCTCAGAGTGAGGAGGCGACGAATAAGGGAGATGAGCAAGTCACAAGCCCGAGCGAGTTGGAGCTGCGGAAAACGCTGGTGTTCAACGAAGAGCTCGCACAGCTGGGCCGCCTGCGGGATGCTCAGAAGCTGGTGCGGTACCAGATGAATCCCCGGCCAGACTGGGGCCCTTTGTCCAAGGCCAAGGCGTCATGATGGCTGGAAGATGGAAAAGATGATGAATGAATGTAGATGTATATATGATTGGACTTTTAGTATATTTGCGGTAATCAATTCTATTCCAAAGTGAATCAAATCCTTTCGTGCGCCGTAGAAGCCGTCGTTGCTTACGCCGAATCCTACGATACAATAACATCTTATCAAAATCCCCCCCACCAGCTAATTGCGCAGGATCAACGTGGGATCGCGTGCGCTACGGCCACAACTAAAGTCCGTAACTGAACACTTCCATCGCAAAGCAGTGTGCAAACTGAGGCCTTTTCCTCATATAACAAATAACGACATTGACAATTTTTTTTATTCCATCTCTTGCGCTGCATCGCATATTTAATTTCATTTCGTTAAACCGTCAAGCAATACGACGAGTACCCACTGCTTGTCAAATCTTTTTAATGACTTCCGCAGGGCTGACAAACGTTACCGACGTCTCGGTCCTAGACGGCGTCATCTCCTGGAAAGACAGCAGTAGCAAAAACAACAACACAAACCAAGTCAAATCCCAAAATGTGATTTTCGTTCTTGATCGATCGCAGGCGTCTTCCGGCGATAAAGCGGGCTACATAATTTCCGCCCTGGTAGAAGACTCAGAAAAGAGTCCCGAAGAGCGCTTTCAACTACTGCTCCTGGCGACTGATTCAGTTCCCGATGAGCTACTTCAGAAATTTCGCATCGGCGGTTTGCCAGTCTATCTGAAGCCTGTGGAGGGAAAACAGGATGTTGACGTTATTGTGTCTACGAAATCAGGCGTTGGCCTGTCCCAGCAGTTCTGGCAGACTGTGCTACAACCTCTCTGGAGCTCAGTCGACGAGCTATCATCAGAGGTCAACGTCCTCATCACGCAAGACGAGCACAGCGTTCGCAACTTTGCTCAGTCTCTTGGTTCTTCAACCTCAAAGTCACGGACAGTCGTCCTGCTAAGTGGCGACGGCGGCGTCGTCGATCTCATAAACGGCGGCTCGCACGATGCGCCGCATCAGCAGCTACTCTTGGCTGTTCTCCCGCTAGGCACGGGAAACGCCCTCTTCAGCTCGCTACATAAACCCCTCTGGATCGCCGAAGATGGTAAAATCGAAGACATCTCCTCCCTAGTTCTCGGTCTAAGAACGCTGTTCAACGGCGTATCTGCCAATCTGCCTCTCTTCCACGCATCCTTTCCCCCTGGATCACGCATTGTGAAATTCAAACCTGCCACAAAGGAGCAAGAAACTTCCTCAGATGACAGCGCAGCAACAGCACTTCATCTTGCAAAGGAAGAGATTCAAGTCTCGCACCTCTACGGCGCCGTGGTGGCCAGCTACGGCTTCCACTCCAGCCTCATCTACGAGAGCGACACGCCTGAATATCGCGTCCACGGCGATAAGCGCTTCGGCATGGTCGCGCAGGAACTTCTCCGCGAATCTCACGCTTACAACGCCCAAGTAGACATTCGTCATCCGTCATCATCAGAGTGGGAGACTATCCCGGGAAATGAGCACACCTACGTGCTCATCACGCCGCTCTCCAATATGGAGCGCACATTCACAATCTCGCCTGCAAGCAAGCCCTTGGACGGAAAACTTCGTCTAGTGCAGTTCGGCAATATCGGCGGTGAGCGGACGATGGACGCCATGATGAAGGCGTATGACGGGGGGAAACATGTTGGGCTGAAGTGGGATGATGGACACGAGGTGCGATATGAGGAGGTGGATGAGTTGAGAGTTACGATATTAGAAGAGGATGAGCGGTGGCACAAGGTGTGTATCGATGGAACGATTGTGGATATTCCCAAGGGAGGGCAATTGTCTGTGAGAAAGGAGGAGGAGAGTGGGTTCCAAATTCTGGTTGACACGCGGGTGTTGCCAAAGACTTCATGATTGCAAGAAAAGGTTTGACTTGAGCTTGGTCACCATATCTATTTTCACATATAGCCTTTGGTTTATAAAAAGTCTAGCTGAAGCTATAGTTGACAATGAAGAAGAGACTCTCCATCATATAGCCTCGAGCAACTTCTTCACCCTCTTCTCCATAACCCGCTCAAACTCCTCGACGCCATTTTTCAGCTCCGTGATTCCCCCTCCTTTAATCCGATAGACTATCCTCCTCCGCATAGTCTCTTCCTCTTCCTCGTCGCCATCTTCATCCTCATCGTCTCCCTGGTCCTCAATCTGACCCTCAATGGCTCCGCGCATAAACCATCTATCGTGGCTCACCAGCACAACAGCGCCCTCCCACTCGTTCAACGCTTCCCGGAGCGCCGTCACAGTCTCGTAATCTAGATGTGTGGTGACTTCGTCAAGAATGAGGCACTGCGGGTGCTTCCAGAATAGTCTTGCCAGCTGACATCGCACCAGCTGGCCACCAGATAGTTTGGAAATAGGAACGTCTGATGCTAAACGGCCAGGGAGGCCCAGCGTGCCCAGTAAACCGCGGATCTCTCCTTCGTTCAACGCACCATCAACTTCTTTAGTTAGAAGAGCAAGGGAGGTCAAGCCCTGCTCGGCGCGGCCAATGTTCTTTAATTCCTCAACGGCATGCTGAGAATAATATCCCAGCCTCAAACGTGGGTGTGCTGTAACGGTACCCGATGATGGCGCAGATTCCTCAACAAGGAGCTTGATGAGGGTGGATTTGCCCGCTCCATTAAGTCCCAGAATACCAATACGGTCGCCCATTCCGACTGTAAGAGTGATGTCTTGAAGAATTATCGGCGACCTTGGTGAATATCGGTAAGATGCCTTTTCCAACGAAATAAGCGATCCGGGGAACCTCAGCTCTGGAGGCTCAGGCAGCGAGATGATGACAGGTCGTTGTTCCGGCGGGATATCGATTCCCTCTCGGCTGGTCAGGAAAAAGCCGACGAGGTCTCTGTTCAGCTTGAACCTTGTGCCCTTTGCACTGACTTGCATGCCCCAGCGATCATCCAGCTTTTTCTGCCGAGATTTGGCCTGGCGAATCTTGTTCTGGTCGTCGTTTGCTTTGCCGGCCTTGAGATTCTGGGCAATGGTCTTCTCTATATGAGCTTTCTGCTTGTCTTGGGCTTCCTTCATTTTGATGAGCCACTGCCTGCGCTCGGATTGCGATCGTTCGTACGTTTGAATGTCGCCGTGGAAGTAAGTGAGCTGCTTGTCCTTCAAGATGAGGAGATCAGTACAGAGAGAGATGAAATCTCGATCGTGGGAAACGAGGATCAGCGTAGGGGCCTTTTCTTTATCTGCCAATGATTGCAAATAGCGCTGAAGCCAGACGATTCCAAGAAGATCCAAAAAGTTGGTCGGCTCGTCAAGAATTAGAATATCAGCCTCTTGCAGCAGCGCGGAGGCGAGAGCTGTCCGCATATGCCAACCTCCAGAAAGGCTGGACAGAGGCTTTTCCAAGTATGCCTCGGTAAATCCGAGACCAGTCAGGATTTTCCGAGCTTCAACTTCGATTTGGGCCAGCCTTGAAGGCTCAATTTGGCTTTGCAGGTCTGCCAGCATATCAGCTGCCTCTTGGGTTTCCGTTTGAAGAGCTTCGGCCGAGATTTCGTCATCTGGTTGGTCTAGTCTGGATGTCATCAAATGTCAGTAGTCAATAATAATAATAATTACGCAAGATGAAATCAACCTACAAGGCTTGTGAATCAGCAACCACTTTCTCAAAAGCAACAAGGGCTTTCCTCGCTTGTAGTCCTCGAGCACCGCTTCGGAGTCTAGCCTCCTTGTCCACGAGGAAGAGACGTTTCTGAAGCTTCTCGTGTTTCAATCCTCTCAAGGCCCGAATTGGAGCATATGGATCCGAAGCATCGACGCCGTCGGCGAGAACTAAACAGAAAGATATAAGCACACGGCTGAAGGAATGATGCTTATATACATACCTTTGATCTCCTGTTCGATGACGCTTCGTGCTGTGGCACGCTCAATAACCTCCTGCAAGACAGACCCCTCGCCCTTGGCATCCTTTGTTGTCTTGTCATCCTCATCAGATTCTGTAAGCTTTGTCTGCTGCAGAATTGCGATCCTGGAGCCCTCTGGAATTCCTGGAATCAGCTTCCGAGCAATGGCCTTGAGCAGTGCTACAGCAATTCAAAGTTTGCCTCCTAGTCAGCCGAAAACCCGAAGCTAGAAATGATGATGAGAATCCTCACTCGACTTCCCCGTGCCATTGCGGCCAACCAAGGCGTAGCGCTGGCCTTCTTTTAATCGCAGCTTGGCGTTGGACAAGATCTCAAGGCCATCGGACTTTGATTTGCCTTTAGATTTGCCAGTTCCCTTTTCTGCTTTCTCTCCGGAAGTGACGACGATGTTGAGGCCATCAATGTCGAGCTAATTCATCCGTCAATTCAGCGTTCGCTAGTGTGAATGGTGCCATGCTTGCAAATCTGACGAACTTCGCGGTAGTTGGTGCTGTCAATGTTGAAGCGAGTCTGCTTGGCCGTGCAGAGGATGGTGGCCACAGACTCGGCTGCCATGGAGGTCATTTTGGCGAGATGAATGTATACAGATTTGCTGGTGTCGGTGGCGATAGGTGAAGCTTAGCGAATGCAATACCGCACTTGAACGCTCAATTCAATTACTCAGCCACGCAGGTCTCAAAGAGCAATTGGTATAAGAACTCCTAATGGCGTTTCCCCCTTGGGCAGGAAAAAGGGAAAGAAAGGAAAAAGAAATATAAGTATAAATATAAATCAGATTAAAAGATGTAGCGACACAAGAAAGAACCCCAAAGCACCTGCCTCACGCACAGATTTCCTAAACGAGCGCCCAGAAGTTCGCATTAGGCTCGTTTGCATCTGCAGCGTCTCCAGAAAAAAGAGTCGCGCAGATCGATCCGGCTCCCAAAATGAGGGCCGGACCGTAAATTGGAGTCGATCTTCAACCACTAAGAAAAAGGCACAAGCAGACGCAGCGTTCGGCCAGTGACTCATCCAATTTCTAGTGCCTTTTGCATCGACGTCTGCCGAGGTGGCGTTATAAACATGACTCCTTTTTTTATATATATGACTCTCACCGAGATGAGTTTTTGTCCGAGACATTTTTATAAGTTCTTAGGTGCCCGTGCGAGAAAATAAAACGCGCACACAGCAGTGACATGATCATCTTAAAGATTTGTGTTGTTTGAGAGCGACGTCATCGCCATCGCGTTTCATCATTGCCATGGCCACATTATATGAGCTGGACTCCATTCCATATTTTACACCAATCATGACCAAATTAAGCAAATCTCGTATCATTACTTGAACAAAGCAACCATTCATTTGTTTGTTTATTTATTTTGTGCACTGCATAACCAGGCACAATACGCGAAAATGTGGAGGTGGCAGTGTAAACGTGCGAATACATGTATACTAAACTAAATCTCTCCATCGCAACTCGTATCTCCAATCTCATTTGCAGAGGCTTCCCGTGTCTTCCCCCTGAACATCGCTTCACCCCTATTTCCCCGCGATCTTTGCTGTCTCTGCCGCATCTGTGCGCAATGGCCAACATGGAATGGAGACATGGATGAATGACAATGCGAAGCTATGATATCATTGCTGGAGACGCCACATTGACGACCGCCACATTCCCTTTGCATCGACACTTGATCACAATCACACATCGAGTCGAACTTTGAAAACAAGACAAATAAAGCAAACTTGAAAAAAAAAAAAGCTCTTGGCAAAGGAAAGATCAACTAGGATAATAACGACTGTGATAATAAGGCATATATAATAGACAAAATGGAGACAGACGGTAAACAAAGTTGTAGGTATAAAAGGTATGGGTATGATATAACACTTCAAGGAAATTTTCTCTCTCAATCTTTGGCGCAATCAAAATTAATTAATTTTCTTCTCTTCTTCTGTTTTGTCCACCAGACCATATATAACCTCCCTAAAAAAAAACACCAACCAAAAAATATCCTGCCGCAAAGCTCCATGAAAAAAAGAAAATGGAGATTGCAACAACTATCGAAGGGGAATCATCGCACTTTTTTCGAAAAAATTGAAAACCACAAGAGAAGATGCAAAGTCAAAAACCAGAGAAAAGACCTCCATATTATTAAACAAAAAAACACCCCTAAAGTCTTCTTCCCATCTCCCAAAGATATACTGCCCCCCAAAGAAAATGTGCGCTTATGTCGTAGACTCGTAAAACCTCGTGGCTGCGCTGAGCAGTGAAACTCTTGCTGTTGGCTACCCGACGTTGATACCACGTCTCTACTCCGTCACAAATTCTTACAGGAGAGCAATGACACCAGCAGCGAGGAGCAGCAGGGCGCTAGCACTGGTGGTGGCAGCACCGCTGATGGTGGAGGACTGAGGAGGCTGAGGAGCACCCGTGGAGATGGAAGCAACGGGGCCCTGAGGAGTCTTGGACTGGTTGGGCTTGGTGGGCACAGCGGCGGTGGCAGTGCTGTTAAAGCCGCCATAGGCGCTGGTGAAGCCGGCGCTGGTGGCGGGAGCAGCAGTGGTCTCCTCCGCCTCAGTGGTGGTGGCAGCGGCAGTGGTCGTAGGAGCAGCGGTAGTTGTAGGGGCGGCTGTGGTGGTGGAAGACTCGGTGCAGCTGGTGGTGGTGGGAGCAGCAGTGGTGGTGACAGGAGTGGTGCTGGTGCTGGAAGTGCTGGTGCTGACGGCGGAAGTCGAAGGGAGAGCAGTGGCAGCCTCGAGTGAGCCGGCTACCTTGTAAGCAGCGGCGCAGGCAGCGAGATCCATGCTGTTCGGGCAGCACCAGGTGGTGAGAGCAGAGTCGTGAGTGCAGTAGTAGCCAGAGTCACAGGCGTCTAACGTTGTTGGTTAGCATACTCGGAACGGTCATTCATATTCGTAGCCAAGGGAAGTGATAACATACTACCGGAGCCGTCAGTGCAGCAGCTCTGGCCAGCGGATGGGTTGTAGCAGTGAGACAGCTTGGTGTTGCCGGCCGAGCACTCGGTGTAGGAAGCACCACAGGCCTCGGAGCAAGTCTCGCCATCACCGCACTGAGTCTGCTCGGGCTTGTATCCGTTGGTGTCGCGGCGACCGAGGCTCATGCCAAGGACGGGCATCATGGCCAGGCGGTAAGGCTTGGGCTCGGCGCTGACATGAGCGGCGGCGGCCAGAATGGCAACAGAAGTGGCGGTTCGGAAAAGCATCTTGACGCGGTGAGAGAATTAAGGATGGACAGTTGTCGCGGTAGGACAGTTGGATTATTCGTTCTGAGGCGAGAGACGAGGCTCGTGAGGTTGCGAAACGAAGGTTGAGGTTGCACAGCGGCGTGTAGCGACCCAGAAAAAAGAATGGAACGAGTATTGACGAATACTCTGGTTGTTTCAATGAGCGTGAATAAAACTGCAGGAAAGACGAAACGAAGGCGGGAGAGACAAGAAGAAAAAGCTTTTCGAGATGTGGATGGAGATGGGAGAGATGAGCAGGGGTCTGCCGGCGCCGCAGCCAATGGGCGCCGCGCAGCAGCTGGTCGGAGCGCAGCGTTGGTGATTTACAGGGCAAGGTTTGGGTACCTGGAGCTAGTGGATTAGTGGATGGGCGATAGTGGGCAGGGGGAGGAGCTCGCCAGCGTTGCCCCCCTACATAGCACCTAGCTATTGACTCCTTTTTCGACATCTGCAATTTCCCAGCAGCGCCAAAGTTCTTCGGTGCGCGCACGGCGAGGCCACACCAAGCGAAGCGAGACGAGACGAGACGAGACGCCAGAAGACAAAGAGGCGAGATGCCCTGATTGAAGTGAGCATTGACTCATCTACATCTGCATCCATATGCAGCTTTGGTGCCGAGCTCCCAGCAGCTTCATTTTGGCTTGTTTGCCTCGTTTCCTCTACGCGCCCGCGAGAAGCCACCACGACGAGGCCATCGCCACGAGTCGCCGCCGGTGCTCCCACCCAGCTCAGCTCAAGCAAAAGCCCAAGGTCCCCGGCCCAATCGTCCAAAAACACGTTAGTCCCAGACCTCTAGAGCAGCAGACACAAGGCTAAACCCGCTAGCTGCAAGGTACCAGGCACAAGCTCATTTCCCATCTCCACTTCTCGATGGCGCCCCAGCACGGGCGGCGGTGACGAAAAGAAAATGAAGGCAATTCGAACATAGGCATTGGACGAGTCTGGTGTGTTCTCGCTTCTTGGGGATGGGATGAGCAGATCATGAACCGCGCTGGGGTAATTAAGCGACGTCGGCCATTTTGCGGAGAATGGTGGGAGGATAATACCTCGCTCTCACCTACACCATGCGACTGACCGATATTGGACGGCCTTGGGCCGATGGATGGATGGCTTTTGCAGCTCAGCGCGCGCTTTGATTTAATCTACAGCTACAGCTACGGCTATGGCCTGCCACTCGTTGTTTATGCAGAGGTCCAGGCACACACACACTTACACACGCACACACATCCTTTGCACCTGTTGTACAGCACACACCAAAGGATCCTGGTTTCACCAATGCCCGCTCAGAATCCACCAATAAAGCACAGGCAGCGTTACCCTCTCACCGCCAGCAAGACGAGCAATTACCGGTTGTTGGGTTGACCACTGCCGATCGCGGCTACATGGCAACGAAAAAGGGCAGAAAAAGACAGAGGGAGAGCTGGAGGGAGACAAATGTTGTCACCATCTCTCGGATGCAAGACAAAACTCTGATCACGCACATCCGACATTGCCGCATCTCGCTCTGTGCCCATGCAGTCATGCGTGTGTTGCCCCCCTCGCGTTCACGTGCTGTCTCACCATGCCTAAAACCTTCCCCCAGTCATCTTTCTTAGTTGTAGGTATTTCTCGTTGATGGATGATTAATTACCCAGATTAGCTGCAGTACGTGCTTGTACAAGAGCAGAACAAGGGAGAAGCTTAAATCGCGGGAGTTGTGCAGTAGTAGGTTGTACTGCCGTGCGATGCGCATAATGCCGGCCCCCAGCCATTGAAATTGGAAACAGAAAAGGGGTCCTTGACCTTACCGCGACGTGCGAAACACCAACTGTAATCTCTCGTCTCTCTGCTGGGCATGTATACATACCCGGCAGAACAAGAGGAGACCATGACGATGCTACCTGCTGTACAGAGTAGCAGAAGCGATATCACCCGGACGTGCAACAAGCGCATGAAGCCCTGCTCTCGTGGGTTAGATTGGTAGTCATTCTCATTTTAGTGATGTCATCTTGGAATGGCTAACGGCATGGTTTCGCAAGCGACCAGCCTGAAGCTATTGTGTAAGCCGAATTAATACAGAGATGGTACGCTTCATGCTGCTACCACTCACGCCAAAGTGTTTTCGGATATGTCAATCGAATTAGGCCCTCGGCTCCTACGGCTGACTACCTAGAGATGCAATGCTGTAAAACTTAATATATAGACTTAGTTTCAGCCATCTCGCGTGATCCAGTCGCATCTCCAAAGTTGGTCTAATTGCGTTACTACACCAGCCTTTTGTAGGCTTAACTCGCATTGCTCAGTGGCCTTCAAGTTAGGAGCTAAAGATACAGTAGAAAAGGAGAAGAGGAGAGAGACATAAACAGTTTCCCATCCTCCCAATACTATACATTCCATTAATCCTACAGAATTGCCTAAGATCCTACCGTCCTAAGGCTAAAACTATCATTACGCCCTCGAGGCCTCATCCACCAGCAAACATCTGCTAACCATCTTGATGGCAAAACAACCACACGGCTTATAAAATTCGTAGTCCACAGCCATTATCCCCTGCTAGAAAAAGAAAACAGAAACTTCTCCTTCTCAGCTTACCGAACACATAACGTCAGTATCATAGACCTAGCCATCCCACTTTATTACCTCCCTCAATTCATTTTCCTCCAGCTCCTTTTATTTGGGCCGTTCGCTTGGCAGACTTTTCCGACCCTTGGCTTTATTGTGGTCGGACTCCGAGCTTCCCTACTCGCCTTCCTCGCCTCCCAGCTTGGCAATCCATTTGTTCATGTGCGAAAACTTTTCTTCAAACGTCCGCTGAAGTCTCTCGCCTGCCGCCCACATCGGGTCGCCCTTCTTCCAATACGTGAAGCAGTTCTCAAAGATTTGGCGCACGTCAACTAGAAAGTCTTCTTCGGTTGCGTACTGCTTCTGGTCCATCTTCTGCTTGATAGTGCTGAGGTCCATTGGCCTTGAGACTTTGTCGAGGTAATCTGGCACGCCATCCTCGACAGGATCGACTGGCTCCCGGAAAGGCCCGACAAGACGAGTCCAGAATCCTATCAATGGGTTAGTGACTTGATTATCCAGAGCATCAGCCAGTTGTATAATTTTACCTGGCCCTGACAGCATTCTATTCAGTAAGTCGGCACAAAAGTCGAGCTTCTGGTGTGTTGAAAATGATTTGCCATCTAAAATAGCTGCATTTGTGCGTCGCTTCTGTGGCTTCAGAGGCGGAGAAGAGCCAGATTTGCGATGTTGCTTGCGGCTTGAGCTGGTGTCGCTAGATATACCGCTAGATCGCCTATTCTTCTTCTTTGCACCAAGGGCTTCCTCGTCAGTCAGTTCATCGAGATAATGGACATTCTTTCGAATCACTGTCGTGATAGGGGTATTAGAAGTTTTAATTGAACTTGGGGGAACGGCAGCAACGGCAACTGCCGCAGTAGTGGTAGCTGGGGCTGGGGCTGGAGTTGAGGCTGGAGGAGCTGTCGTCTCAAACGAGCTCATCGTGACTACGAGCTCACTCAACACTTCTTGGGGCAATGATTTGGCAAACTCTGCTCTTGCATCTGAAGATCTCATATATTCCGCAGCCCAAGACAGTAGGAGAACTCGGATGGAAGAGCCCTCGGGGGTGTCTCTCCAGACCTGGATAAGGAGAGGCGTTGCCGGGATGCGGCCGGTGGTTCGTCGGCATTCGACCATTGCTTCTAGTGTATGTTCGCATAGCCCCTTGATGGCAAGTTTGTGACCCAAGTTCCAGAGGCCAACAAGTGATTCGTAGGAATTAACGTTGGTGCTGTCGTCTGCAATCTTTCCGCTGTAGAGAAAGCTTTGTATCAATCCGAATACTTCGGGCGTTGCATCTGGAAGCTTCACAATATGCTCTACCGCAGCCTCTTTGACATTTTCCTCGAAATATTTCTGATAGAACTCAGAACGATCGCAGAGAAAGTCTTTCTGAATGCCAAACGGTTGCTCATCGGCACCTACAAGGATGATGACGAATATGGGATGTGGTTGACTTGGGTGTTATTAGCACTTGCGTAATGCCGCGGCGGCCGGAGAGTCTTTTCTCTATTTTACAAAATTACTCACGTCCAGGAAAACGGTCTCTTAGCAGCGTCTTCTTTTAGTATCTCTCTTGAAGCTTCTTTGGGGGTCTCTGTCAGGGTTTCTTTTGGGGCTTCCTTTGGGATTCCATTTGGAGTGTCGTTTATGGCGCCATTTGCAGCTGCCTCTGGGGCTGCCTCTTTAGAGGGTGGATCAGGAGACATCGTAAGATATTGACCTGAGGAAGGAATTAGCAAAAGTCACATAAAACTGCCAAGTAAACAATCGCAATAGCTCAAGAGAGTGCAGTGGGTGTGAAGACGATGGAGAGAAGCCGATGCAATGAGGCAGACATGCGAACGAACGCATCGAAATCTCATATAGGACGGTGCTGCTCACGCTACTGATGAAGCCACCACGCGAGAGTCATTCTAGAATCACACGAAATTGAGAAGCCAGAAGACTTGAAGCGTTATGAGCGCGTCTGTAGATCCCGGAATAAAACAAAAGGTGAAAGAGAAGAGAGAGAAGAATTAAAGGATGCCGCTCGCGATCGGCTGCTTCACTCACTAAGGTATGCTGAAAACGCCAAAAACTCTAATAGACTCTTCGTACCTCTTGTCAATTTTGGCTCTGGGACATGCCGCAGCGCTCGATGCAATAAAATCAATTCGGGGCGTTCTGTGAGCTTTCAAAAGAGAAATGTCAAGAAATATCTGGTTGGTGATGGTCTTTAATTATCGTCGCAAATGGTGTTCTTCGCCGGCAGAGAAATTGCGAGTAAAAGAGCCATGAAGGCGACTTTCTGGAGCTGAGAATCAGGTGTGGCGCGTGTGGCTTGCAGTCGTGTTTGCGGCTTATGTAAGTCCAGACAAAAGGGAAGGTTGCATGCCTACCCTGGAATTTTGTTGGGTTCGCTTCAGGCTAGATTTATGAATAGCCAGTCAGCTGGGCTTGTAGGTGATGGATGCCATTCTATACAGATAAAACACAAATATGGGCTTCAGGATCAAATATCAGGTAGATTTGTTTATTTTCAGCGCGGCGGGAAGTGATGTAGCTGAAATGCTCATCGTCGCGCTGCTCTTCTAGTATAGATGCATATATACACAATCTGATCTGCATTCAGCATACTATTCTATCAACCATAATGTGAGCATCTAGTCTAGTCTATAGGTGAGTTAATCCAACTGTATCATATATGATAGCGCTAGTCAAAGAGAACAACTCCTATCTTAGAATAGCTGCTATAGCCAATGATCCTCACCAGCTCAAGTTGCTACCAGAGCAGATCGAACTATAATTGGACATGCAGATCGACGACATTTCACATTCTTCGCAGTGATAGTCCGAGTTCCCACTCGTTCACCGCTAGCTAGCTAAGCTCTGATATAACAATGCCAAGACCGAATATCTTCACTATGCAGATGGATAGTAGTAAATTTTAGGCTGATAGACTCTATCATTCGTTGCTATACAGCCCCCCAGATCAATTTCCACCAATTGAGACTGACTTATACATAGCCCTACAATCCTTCGACGAGGGGCTTTCATCACACCCAACAACACCAGGCAGCAGTCAGCCTTGCCCTCAGCCTTGCCCACACTGAGTCTTCATTAGCAATTCCATATCGTTGCCCATTGCAGCAATTTCGTTATTTATATGTGGCTCGAAATTCTCATTGCAGCTCAAAACATTCATATCAAAAAAAGAGAGAAAAAATCTAAACCTGACTACGCAAACATACAATCATATTCATTTCATAATCACATTAAAAGAAAAAAATGTCACGTTATCAGAACCCAGTCAAGCCGGGACTCGAACACATTCGCATCCAAATACAGTGTGGTGCCTGTGGGCAGCTGTTTATGCCTCGTGAGAGCCCAATCATTGCCAGTATGTAATAATCTCTCTCCCTTACTCCTCATTCAAGAAGGTATTTGCTAAAGGCGGGGAAAAAAAAAAACCACAGTAACTCAGAAAGGCTCATCTATCGAGATTCTCAATGCTTTCATGTTTGCGGGCGATGAATATTCGTATGAGAATAGCTACCGGCGCGCATGTGGCAAAGATGAAGTCTTCTGCAAGAACCCATATTGTATCACCTGCCGGAATAAGGACGAAAGTATAACTGTACATGCTGACTGTTTCCATCTCTTTGTGCAGCGATGCGTTGTCAAGAACGTTGCCGATGGGCCTGCACGAAAGAAAGAAATCTATAGGCGCCTTTGGCTGGCGGGAAGAAAGAGATATGCCTGGCGCGGGATAATTTCAAAAATCAAGTTCATGAGCAGCACCACTCTGGAAAGTCCCCCGCCAGAGACAATCAGCGAGATATGTGGCTTTCGAGACGTTTTCCTGCCAGAAGTAGCTCTGTTGATCCAGAGCCATTCGAGATCGCATATCCTCTGGAGATACTGCTCAGTTCTTAAGCTGGTGCGAGACCTGGAATTGGCAGAGTCGCTTGAAACTGCTACCTATCCGCTCCGCAAAGTGCTGTCGTGGTCCCGTGGCGAGCTCCCCAAGCTTGTACAAGATAAAAATCTTGCTGGCCCTTTTATTTTGCTTACACTTGATGCCCGTGGCGTCAAGAGTATTGAAAGGATCCCCGAAGTTCCAACAACCACAGGCACTGAGATACCTACCCCTTCTTTCTTATTTGCTCTAGCGACGGTAGAGAGGCTATCGGGTGCCAAGATAGAATTCGAGGTGTGTAAACCAGCGCCTGCTCCATTTTGGCCATTCGTTTCTTTTTTTGGATGCAAACGAGTCATAAGCTAACTGATATATATATATATATTCAGCTCGGAATGTGTCATTTCCACGTTGGACTGCATGATTTCGGCATCCGGAGCTCCCCGGCGATTTCAAACAAACACAACGACCTTTGGAGATTGAGCCTCTCTTCTACCAACTCTGTCAGTCTGGATCCGAACTGCTGCACGGGACTCTCCTTCTTCCTGCGCAACCACCATATTGTCGACATCCATGCGCATTCCACGCGGCATCCCCCTACTCATGTCGAGAAATTCAAGTACATGGAAGCCATGTTCGCTTCGGCCAGGGACGATGGCATCGAATGGATCTATATGCCGCTGACAGCGCAAGATGTAATCACCGCGATCAGGGCCAGAAAGCATGTGTTACCCAAGACGCCGTGCTACTTCACGGTAAGGAATAAGAAATGATACTTGAGCTAGATCGAGAAAAAGACTAACATCCATCCTTCTTTCAGTTCTATACAAAGTCTGGAGACAAGATTGTGGTCGGCACTCCCTATAAAGAACGGGGTGAACACACAACAAAAAGTCTAGAGGAAGATACGGTATACATACAGGAAAAAGATGCGCGGCAACATTTCAACCTCATCTACCAGATACGACCCAGCTTTATGCCGAGTGCAATCTACCCCGACACCGATACTGTGGCTGACGGTGACGCCGATAGCCAGTATCCTGTCCCAGTTATAGATCCTCCGCCAACTATAACGTCCCTTAGCCCATACGGCCTCAATCCCCCGCCTCCTCCCAAGGCCTTCTTCTCTTCCGCGTCTCTAGAGGGCATTCTAGACGTGCACGTCTTCACCGTGGGCTGGAAAAAGTTGTGCAAGGGCATACTAGTCGAGTATGAAAACGGGTCCAAGAGAGCCTTGGGGCAGTGCCGCCTGGGCTTGGATGAAGTCCAAAGCTGGCACAAGCCTCTCAGCATGCATTACATGCCTGAGGATTACGAACGGAATGTTTGTGATCTAATCCGCGAGACCCGCACGTCTAAAAGCGCTGTGGTTACGTTTGACTCTGAGAGCAGCCACAGGTCTGAGGATGGCTCGATGGAGGAGAACTATTACGAGTTGAAGGGCCGTCTTAATTTCTGGTTTACCTTTCATGCTATTGAGTTACAGTTTGTAGATGGCTAGCTGTACTGCTGTTTCTACTGCTTCTACTGCTTCTACTGCTTCTACTGCTTCTACTGCCTCCACTGATGTTTTAAGACAAGTCTCTTGTAATCTTAATGCTCTTACTCCCGATAATGTGTGGATTTTCTTCTAGCACTATTCCCCCCCCTTACATTTCCCTTTTGATACGCCAATGCTCTCTCAAGTATGTTGGTCGCCCATCTACAGCTTTGAGCCATGCGATATAGGCTAGAAAACCAGTATTCATTTCAGTCCCAAATTTACCCAGATAACACAGCCTCAGAGAAGAATAAATCCGTCTCGGCAGCGGGTAAGAAGACGACGGCTGCTCGTAGGATTGCCTAGGAATAATGTATTTCGCCGTCCGCTGCCGTTCTTATAACAGAGCCAATAGCAAGCAATCCCGCGTCTTATGTCGTTGGTTGAGCATTAATTCGGCCTACCTGAGATGCCTATTTTCCCTAGCTAGACAAATTTGGATTTGGGCACAAAACCCCAATAAAAAAAGACAATGCGGCTAAAGGAAAGCAGGGCTCCCATGAAGCTTGGGAATTTAGCCTGTTACTTGGAGAGTCTCACTCAGGTTTATACACGGATACGCATATGCATTATGCTTCAGAAATAGTAGTAGCTCTTCGAGGCCTGGACCTGACTGAAGTCCTTACCGGCTTAAAAGTATGAACCATGATCCATGACGCAGGAGTATTGCGGCGTTCATCATTGCAACTCACATGCTTACCAGTGAGAAGGGCCGTTTGCCTACACTAAGGCAAGTAATATGGCTGTGCAACCGACCCCAGACTCTCTCCCCATGTAGATCTCGTTTCAAACAACTACTATGCTGCTGCCGCCAGGTAGTATTTCTAACTAGTAGTACCTGTCGTGCTGTAGTATGCATTATCCAACGCAGCGCATGGAGCTTTTGCTAGTACCTTACACCTTATATGTATAGCCGATCGTACATAGACCAGTAGCGATCTATACCCTGCCATCTGTGCTTTTTCCCTCACCCCGGACCATGGTGTAACCACACGGAAGCATTAGATGCGCATCCGATGCAGGGCTCCCGTTATAGACTGCATATGGTAGTAAATGGAGGGGGTGGAGGGTAGAGAGGGGGAGTTTGCGATTGTCATTCCTTGACTATGCCTACTATATGCTACTACACACATGTGTATTCAAGAGCCTTTGACGTAAAAGATCTTTTGCTCTGGCCGAATAGGTCTGGAATCCAACTAGCAGCCCGCGTGTATCTGCGCCTAGGCTCGGCGCACGCATGCACTCCGCATGTGTCAAGTTGCTGTATGGCGCATGGCACTACCGAGGGGTTCTCGGCCCCCATTGAGAACTATTGTGCAGACAGCCCTGTTGGCAAAGACGGCTACCTGAGGGGTCCAAATGTGAGCGATAAAGAGTAGAATGAATGCAGAGGGTAGCATTTCCTGCGCTCCCCGCCAATCGCCGATCTAGACAGCAGCTTTGTGAGGGCACTTTTGACAATATAACGGCCCTTGTCGGCTTGCAGCGAGAATGCCCACGTTTCGCACCTCCACCTCCAGAGTCGGCTCCAATCGGGGCGTGCCGACAATGGCGGCTTTTCAACGACCCGACCCCCATGCAGTATTTCCCATGTCGGCAGGTTGGTACGCTTCTTGACGGGCATTGACAGCGGCCGAATTGATCGTGCAAAGGGCTCATAAACATAAGTACCCGGCATAGCCGCGGGATTCCGTGGGATAAGAAGGCAGAAACAGAGCGTCATTTGTTCCTCTGCAAAGGAACCGGGCAACGCATCCGATTCGTTAGAGCTTGATAAGCTCACAGTGGCATAGGTAGCAGCAAACAAGCTCGCTAAGCAAAGAACCCAACCTTTGCGGTTGCATTCATTGTGGCACGGGAAACGGTTGCAATAGTACCTAGTAGGCAATACTATCACCCCATTACACTACACACATACTGTACCATGCCGCGCTGCAGTATTACATAGTAGCAGCCTCTTGGTTTTCTTTCTCCCCGTCCTCGGTAGCAGGAATATGCCATTATCTCCGCAGCGCGCTTGTTGCGTGCTAGCCGTCGATCCGGGCATGGGGAGGACCACGTTGGCAGTTGTGTGGACGGGATGGCGCCGCGTTCTTTTCTGGACGGGCCATGGGAGACCTCGGCGCAATTCTAATCTACAAGTTGTTATCAGCATAGCCGGCACCAATAGCAAGTACATGGCATCTCACTCAGCACTTGGTAACCTTGATAACGATCAAGCTCCCAGCCAGCTACTACCTAGGTAGTTAGTAAGTGGCATATGCCCAGTTCCGAAATTTCCCTCAACGGCGGCTCAGTATAACGGCAACGCTTCCGGCTGTGTGGTTTCAATGGCGCAAGGCTGCGTCACGCTCGGCAGTAAGAAAATGCTCAACCGTCTTCGAGCCTCTCATCGTACCACAGCCCGGGTCGCGATAAGACGAAACAGGCCGAGGACGTAAGACGGCTGTTCGAGCCTCTGCAACGAGCGTAATCGTATTGGCAGTATTGCTACTGTGCACCTCGTCTCGTCTCGTATTATTGTCTGACCCGCCGCATAGCAATAGGTACTGTCCGCCCAGATAGTGCGTGCACGGTGGTCGGCCGTCCTTGGCTGAGCGCTTTTTCGCTGCTCGAACCATCACCCCATACGGAGTAACAGACCCCAGAGCAGAGCGCTGGAGGAGAGACTCCACCACGCCTGAATGTCTCAGACTGACTTGGGGCCAAAAAAAAGCCAAGGCCAGCCAGCACTGGCCTTTTTTCCCGTCTGGAACCGGCCGGCCTCAATGCGCACTTGGCGACGGCTTTCGGCGGCCGCACGCAGAAGAGGCCAAGCCTTGCGGTTGATTTGAGGAGAACCTTTGTCTTTCGCCATTTTCGTGTCTTGGATGGCTTTCTGCAGCGTCCAATTGGGAATTACATTACTTCATTCTGCATGCGTGCACGGCAGTTCTTCGCCACACAACGGTTGCGATGACGATACATGCCCATCCCAGGACTAAATCCGAGTCCACATTTGTGCATAATAAGGCACAAGGCAAAGAAAAATAAGGCTGCCTGCTCCCACCCGCCCTGCCTGGGCATGTTCCACTCTTTGTGAAGGCAGTCCGTCGTTGAAAAAAGAAATTCGGCAGGAAAAAGTCATAGCCCTGGTGGGAAGAGAAAGAAAAGAGAAGCAAAAAAAAGCGGCTAAGAGGCGTGTCTCTACGAAAACGTGGAGTCGGATCGGGGATTTTGCGCCATGTATCTTTTCCCCACAGGTACAAGCAGCAGCCTGTGGATCGTCAAAATTTCTCAAAACCAGCGAAGCCGGCGACCAGCCAGCGCCAAAAGAGCCAGGAGAGAGCGAGCCGAGCGAGAAGGTAAAAGATAACGGTGGAGACAGGCACGCTTAGCCCGCGCTGATGCAATTAGGAGAATTTTTTTCCAGAAGCATGTGGGCAGACGCATGGACCGCGCGCATCTCCAAGGCGGCCTCATGCTCTAATCTGAGGCTGTGATGGGACACCGAATTCCGTGATGCCATCTACGGCGTTAGCTGCCCTGCTATAAGCAGTAATTCCCAGGCTAGCAGTAGCTTTTACGTACTATTGAGGATCTGATAAGGCGTAATAAAAAGAAGAGAAAAAAAATTTAGACAGAGAACCCTGTTTGCTTTCGAGGCTAACAGGAAACGAGAAAAAAAAAAAAGCTTTCGGCGACACTTTGACAATGTCCTTGGCAGGCAGCCAGGAACAAGACGGCAGCCTCATCGTGTGGCTTGGCAGTTGACATCGATTAAAACGGGCCAAGAGGTGGCAAACGTCAACGAAAAAGAAAAAGAAAAAAAAAAAAGCGAATTCCGACGTGACGCCGAACAGTGCCCATCAAGGTCCCGGGCACAACTGCGCACGCCCTGCGGCTGTCTGTCTGTATGTACGAGGGAGCTCCGAGCCGAAAGGACTGACTACTACACATGTCAGCCGAGCCGGGGGCCGATATCACATCATGCCAGAGCATCGTGAGCCTTGTTGAGTCGCAGCACGGACGGACTGTACCACATGCTAGTGGTTGCGTAGATGAGATGAATCTTGTTGGGGGTTTCTTCGCAGCAGAGGGGATAAGTCGCAATCTTCCCCAAGCAAGAGCCGCTGCCTAGAAGCATCGTGCACCAAGCATTTAAGGCGTCATATCTTGGTAGAGCCAATCCAATTCGTCAATCAATTCACTGCTCTGTAGTTTTGTCTTCTTCAATAGACCAGACCAGTACATATCATTATACACCAATTCACGCTCGATACATACATACATGTACAACTACCTAACTTACTAGTAGACCGTTAAACGAAATTGTCAACCCGCTCAACCAAGCGCGCATAGTGGATTTTAACGCCTCGATACTCCTCCTTCCCCAGACACGGACATTGGACGGGGCTGAAAAAACAAAGGTCCAGTGGACCAGACAAGAAAAAAAAAACATGTGAGTCAATAACTCAACAGAATGCCATATAGCGGGCTGGGGGGAGATGGATCCACGGTCTGGAGTTATGCCCAGCTTATATCACATGTCGGTTCTAGACACTGCCCAGGCTCAGGCGGCTTTAAAAAAAATAGTAATACTAAAAACAAAAGGCAATTATTCCCGCCTCAGACGCCGGACCAAGCTGAACTCCATGTCCATGACGTCGTGATAGCACGACAGGGCTATCGCATCCAATTGGCCTTAGCTTGCATCTCCTCCGGTACATACTGTATATTCCTACCGGGTGCTACAATGATCAGGCGATATGCACACTCAGATCATTCCGCAACCCGAAAATATCCCGTCTTTTGTTTCATTGTTAGTTAGTCAGGGTCGTAGAGATGAGATGCCATGTGCGCGGAAGAGTCTCTCCGATTAAATAAGCCTCGACCATTTCATTGGAGCCTTCAGTTGACTTAGTATTGCTATCACGACTCGGTATAATGTGCAGAAGCAAAGTATGTAGATACTACTACTAATGGACATGCCGAGGCTGGAACACTCAGAATTAAACTAGAATGCAACAACATCTACTCTAGTCTAGTCTATCAAAACACAAAGGAGAGAGAAAGAGAAAAAACTATCAGCTCTCGCTTTGCAGACAGCTATATCATATAGAGTAGTTCTCCGTGCCTAGCAGTAGCGTGCAAAATCTCCATCTATTCGATGAAAATGGGATCTAACCCCAAATTAACATCCCGGCCGGGACGACGCCGCCACCTCGTCATGCTATTGTTCGCTAGGGCTTTGCCTCGATATGAGAGCAAAAGCCGCCCGCTTTGGTGGGGAGATGCGGCTCCATCTGCGCTCCATCTCGGAAACACCTACGGCGCAGAATGGGCTCTTCGGCCGTTTGCCGGCGCTTAAGCCACCCCCAATTTTTTCTTTTTTTTTTTTTTTTTTTTTTCCCCTCTGCCCAGCTCTCCAGGTAAGTACGGTGTAGTCAGCTAGTCATTCAATCAGTCAGTCAGTCTCGTTGTTACTTCGGTCGCCATCCCCGGCATCGTCGTCCTCATAATAGTAATCTTGAAGCCCTTCCTCCGCCTCCGACTCATCCTCGGTTAGGCCAGCGTTTTCGCCCAAGATAAGATCCTCACTCCCTTGCCATTGAGACGGCGGCGGTGGCAACGCATCTTCATCCTCGTCTGCCCAACCATAGTCCTCATCGTCGTCGTCGCTGTCTGGCACCTCCAGGTCCGTCTGCCCCAGTTTCCTTTTTGGTCGCGGTGCTATAGCCGCCACCTCCATGTCCGAACTGCTTGCCTCGTAGTGGACACTTGATATGCCGGCCTGGTTGTCCAAGTTGAGATTAGTATTTCGCAAATGCCGACGCTTAAGGAGGATCAATGTAACCCACAGATTCAACTTTAAACGCAGACACATGCTCGACGGCGTCTTGGGCCGCCCTGCCATCAATCTTTTGCAGGCCAGCTAGAAAGACGCTGGACGACTTGCTGGCGTTCCACGCCCAGTCCCGGAATAGAACTAGCCTTGTAGACACACCCTGCTCCCAGACCGTGGTGTTGATCGACGGGATTAGTGTGGCCATCTGCTCGCTTCGCATCTTGGTTGCACATTGCGATAAAAGTACCACGGCGCAGTTCTTAGTCGCGGCGAGCTTTTGCAACGTGGTGATTATAAATTGTAGACCTTGTAGGCGCTTTGAAGCCTGAGTGGGACCTAAGGAGGTAGGTGTGAGAGAAAAAGACAAAATCTCGAGCTTGGTGTATAAGTATAAGAACACACCTTTTGCAGGCTTTTTGGCCCCCTTTCCTTCCAATGACCTCGGCAAGGAAGAATTAATTAGAGCCGACAAAGAACTAATGACGATGAGCGAAACATCAGCAGCAATAGCGGTTGTTGCTGGTCGAGATATGAGCGCAAGCAGATGAGGCAGTGTCATGCAAGAGTAGCGAACCAGCTTGGCTGGATCTATGTCTTGAACATTCTCTATATTCGCCAAGAGTCGGGACTCTTTTACGCTTTTCAGCACATTTGCTATTCTCTGTGTTTGTAATTTCTGGAAGCAATCTGGATGTCATGCCCCGTGTTAGTTCTGGTGACGATATCAAGAATCGAGTATCATTTGTATTCGTCAAACCGACCTACCCAGACCACACCGTTACCATCACTCAGGGCATTGGCGGCCAATTGGATCCTGTAACATCCATCAGTATATAAATCTTCATAATGCAAATTTATATACATGTATATATCACTGAGACCTCTTACCCTAATGCAGTCTTGCCACAGCCAGGAGGACCCCATATCTCGGTTACCTGACCTCGCTTGACGCCGCCATGCACGGTAGCATTTTGCGAATCTTGCGAGTCCTCTAGTCCCAGCAGTGCACAATCAAGAGCTGTCAAGCCCGTCGATATATGAGCAGCCGGATCAGCCTTCAAATCTTCCAAAGCTTGTGAAGCCGGCACGGTTGGAAGACGATCTTGACCCCTCCTTCGTTAGCATACACACACACACCAGCCAAGCCAGCACAAGAAACACTCACGCGTCGAGCTTGGGATGTCAAAACTGGCTGTATCATGGCCATGGATGGCATGATAATCCATCATCCATAGCCGGCTTGCCCCGGATCTCTGGCCAAGCTACCCGATCTTGGCTGCGCAAGCTGCACGGGCGTGAAGCGGCGTTCATTTTGGAGACGTGCACAGTAAAGCACGAAAGCACGTGATTTCAGTTTACTACATTACGGGTGTCCGAAAGCGGCAATCAGCTCCACTGCAATCTATCTACACTCGTACAGTACACAAGAACCAAATACTATTTGCTTAATCGCAACCCAATATCACTTTGCTTGTTGTCAGTCACTATCATCTGATATTTTCTTCATCCTTGATCTGTTTACTTGCATTTATTTGCACCACGAAATCCTACAGGCCTCAGCTCAGACTTGCGGAGAATTGCGCTCTCGTATCGGCGAATCTCAGCCTACCAGGGCCTGTTTGAGCTTGTCGCCTGTGCGGCGTATTCCAGACCTCAATAGCTTGGCCCTTAGTCATGACTCTCTGCGCAAAGCGGGTACAAGGAAAAAGCACTGTTAGCAGCTGAAGGGGGTGCTGATATTGGAGAGGATACAGCCGAGTATTACTCCGTTTTTTGTGTGCTTTTTGCACTTGGTTTTTTTGACAACGTTGCATGCATTTTGATGGGTAGGTTTCTATTGTTGAGTGTTTTGCCACTCTGTCTCGGCGTCAACTTGGCACCTTTTAACAACTACACACTACCAAGGTACCACTTTGTAGATAGTGTCCAGTAGCTGTTTTACATGCCAATATTTGCTTGTTTTCGAGAGACCTAGCATCACTTCTCCTTCCACCCCGCATGCCCATTACCAAACTATGCTGTACTCTCAATAGCCTTCAAAACGGCGACTCGGTACTAGCCAAAACAACCCGATACCCATCCGCATCCTCAAACGTCTTCCCACATCGATCCCAGTAAGGGTTGAAGCTCGTCACGGCGCCAAACCCAGCCCTCTCCATGCGCGCCACTGCCTCCGCATACTCCTTCTCCTCAGGCAGGTAAAAGACGAGCAGGTTGTCCTGCGTGGGCGCACGGCCGGCGGCGTGCCCGGTCTTTGCCGTGAACTCGAGGTGGTACCCTGCACCCTTGTGCCCGAGCATGATGCCGTCGAAGCCTTCGTGCTGGTTGAAGCGGAAGAGCAGCTCGAAGCCGAGGCCGTCGACGTAGAATGGGAGCAGGGCGTCGATGTTATCGGACGGCCGGGCCACCCGAAGGATGGCTGACTGGATGGGCATTATTGTGGTTTGATAGGTAGGCAATTGGGCTGCGTAGGTTGCTGTTGCGGACTTTCCGAGACGCAGATGTGGTGTTCTTTAGAGAGAGAGCGAGAGAGAGAGCGATAGCTTGTAGTATCCCAACTATCAAAAGCCGAAGCAACAACGCAAAGATATCCGCGCAATGAGCATGCTTAAATTTAACTCATTGCTTATATATATCGGCTCTATTCGTAACTACGAAGCCATAGAGAAGTTTTGCTTTCCCAAGTTCAGCAATATTTGTTTCGTATTCAACAGTTGCGATACGAGCCGAGGAAGAACTCCGCAAGCAGCAGCAAAAGGGCGCTGATTGACGTCACTCCATGCTGCAATGTTCATTCAGTAGAAGCCCAAGAGTCCAGTCGAAAGAGAGGACTTTTTAGCTAATAAAGACATGAACAGAGGAGTAGCCGAAAGACGTCAACTCATCTATGCCGTATAAGTTGACATAACCCGAACGAGAGAGAACCCCTCATTCCCGGGGTTGAGTCTTGCAAGATCTAGCCCAGGGTCTTAGCCACATCTCGGCCGTACTGTGTTTGAGTGCCATAGGGCAAGCCACAGATGGTCGAATTAAGGTGCGAGATTTGCGCCTCAGATGCTGTTAGAGCGAGTTACGCTGCAGTCTAGAAACTTCCATGCGCTAGATCTGGGGAAAACGCCATACTTTGTCGAGATTTGTATGGGGTAAAATGGCAGCCTAGCAAGATCTGCAAGCCTTCTCTCGCCATCGACGATGCAAAACCACTGCTCCCTGTATCTCCAGGCTCACTGTCTGAAAAGGCAGGCAAGCATGTTTGAATGCTCCATAACGCCGCAAACTATTCCCGCCAAGCAAAGTCCGCCTCGCAGCCTAATGCGGCCTTTTCTTTCGAGGGAAGCTCGGCGTACTCCGGGCAGGCACATATCAAAAAAGACATGTACATAAAACTTATGCCGCACGCACACGTAGGCACACACTTCCAAGGATATTTTTCTTTCTCTTCTTTTCTTTGCTCGGTCCCCCATACGGCCATGCTCCCGTGGAGCGGGTCTTTTCTTCTTTTCTAGAACGCCACAAAGGGGGTGTGTTCAGTGACCCCCAAGACAAGGCTACTCGCGCGGCGTCGCCGAGATTCTCCCACAGCAATGGACACGCACGCACACACACACACACAACAAATACGATGGTAAGTACATACTGTACTGGTAGTAATAAAATCGTAAACCAAGTTGGGGGTGGATTGGGAAGCGAAAACGAAGTCGGGCTGTAAGGGGCAGTGCGGCACAAACAAGCCGCAGAGGGAATCGAAGCCCAGTTTCACCCTCCGTACGACATTTCCAAGGCCCTGGCATCATGATAGGCCATGGTTGCTTTTGGGTGTAAATGCAGCCTTTGTTAGCTTGGCGAATCGCTGGCCTGTAGTTCGCGCGCGTTACATTGAAACCTCTCTTGTCACGCATCATACGTGGTGCCAGTCGCTGTGTGACAGCAAACCAGTTCGCAGCCGAGCCAATTAGTATGCGTCTTTGCATTGAGCAAAGTCGAACCATGAGTAGACACTCGCAGCAGTTTTGCTAAGCCTGTCTCTCCTCCACCACTACCACCACAGCCACACCCCGAATCATGGCACGTATCGCATCCCCATCTTTTCCTGTCTCCCCGTGGGGTGAGGGAATGATGAGCCCCTCTTTTACTTCATTAATCGTAACGGCAGTTTGTTCCTGCGTCAGGCGGACAGGGTAAAAGGCATAGAAGATTGCAAATATGAAAAGGAAAGGGATAAAAAACTCAACAATGTTTCAGCCTAAAGGCAATTCTCGATGTTGGGTAGCGGCCATCGACACAAAACGACTCGTCATGTTGAAGAAGGTTTGCGGAAGAATTAGAGCTTACGGTATCCCCCAGACCAAGATTTTGCCCTATACCCTGCAGTATTGCCATTTTTCCCTTGTTATTCACGGGGAGAGGCCGAAAGAGCGCCTCGACGTTACGACAGGCTATATCCAATGCGTGCACAAGGACATGGAACAGAGGTGCCCGCACTTTTGCGTTTCGACAACTACGGAAATCGTGGCGAGGCGAAGGTTCTCCAGGTTTTAGCGCACACCCCCATGGAGGCGTAACACGTTGCATCGTAAGAAAATGAGAAGGGTTAGGACGAGAAAAAAAAAGGAAGAAATAAAAAGTCCCTGCCTGGACCCCAAGCTTGAGGGCTTGATGATGCCACTTTAGGACCCCATTGGCCCTTTGACTTTCTCACTCAATTTTCTTTTCGGCTGGCGCTGACCATCAGCTACCACGAGTACAGTAGCAATGTAGGTAATAGCACGGAAAAGCGCTATTAGCCGTTCTCTGCCGTACACCCCTTTGGGCGTGAAACTTGCCAATTCATTAGCCGGCGGCGGGATCGTCTCTTATCAGCACAAGTGTTGCAATCTTCGAAGCCAAGCAGCCAATGGCCTCGGCCATTGCTCGGCTATCGCACGGGCGAAAAATCAAGCCCTTCGATGCGTTACAGGCGAAAAAAAAAAAAAAAAAAAAAAAAAAAACTAGGTGAATAGCCCGTCTCCAGCATACCGAGCCCCGCCTTCTGGGGAAATTGGCCGGAAATTTTGGGAGTAGAGATAAGCACGTGGGCGATATTGAGGTCTGATTTGGGGCCTTTCGGTCAGTAGCCTGCTCTCGTGCGCGCTGAACCGGTAAAAGGGATTCTTGAGGCGACTGGCTGGAGCCCGCAAAGCCAAGCTCATGTCCCTGCGTGTACAATTTCGTGTTACATGTGAAAACAGGACTTTTTGGCTTCTTGGCGGCTGTGGTGAAGATAGGGATCCGAGGAGACCCGGATGCAGTATCCCAGCATTGCCACCAACATATTGTTCCCAAGGCAAGGCTTGGCAGGCATTTCAGGAAAATAGATCCCCAGCCTGAAGTCGAATCTGGCATGTTCTTCTGTCAATACTACGGTACACTGAATACCTAGTACTTTCTTTGACATGTGCTTTGGCTCTAGAGTTGGACCCTGCTCCTCCGTAATTCAGCCGAAGAGGCCGACTCTGCCGGGACGTTGGATGTCAAGTCTCTGGCCGTATCTGGAAGGTTTTCCCTTTGGGGAGATCCATTGCGAACCGGCATCTCGGTTGAAACGAGGAGGAATATGTATGTTGGTTGGTCCTTGCATGCCATGCTCAACCTGGCACCGGTGCTCCTACTCCCAACCTTATGCACACAACATAGTATTCTCCTGCTGAAAAAAGAAAAGCAAACTGCTACTAGTCATCCTCAATTATGAGGCGTATTCCTCCTGGACTGGAATGTACGCAGTAACCAGCCGTTTGCGCCGAGTATTGATCCGGGGGAAACAGGCACTTTCAGATATCTGATACGGAGTGCAAAAGTAGCCCATAGATGGACCGAATATTCAACGAGGGCCATGCGCATCAATCATGCCTCGTGCTCAGATATTCCTTATCTCTCTTTTGCATGTCCCCCTGTGCGGACTTTAGGCGGGCACTGACTTGCACTGGTGGAGGTTGCCAGGGTTATCGTCAGGATACTAACACCTGAGCGAAAATGGCGCTACTATGGCCTCATCAGTTATGCCACCGTTGGTAGCGGTAATCCTGCTTGATGTATTCCAATAGTATAGGTGTTGCGAATGGGGCGTTATGATAGATCGCCGAGTAAACGCGAAGGATTGGTTATTAGTTTATCTAGAGAAGGATGCCGGAGCCGTCTTGTTATTCCAGACCGAGTCGCAACCATCAAGCTCCTCACTCCTTTTCTGCTCCTTTGGCGTGTAGGTCTTGTGCGGTGCATAACCCCGTATTGGCGGAAGATTTGATCGTTTCTTTTTTTGGGGCTATGAAACCGATATGTACCTCAGGCTCTGTAACCTCTGTTTCATGCGCTGCGTCCAAGCTCAGGTCGTATTCTCAGTGCTGCTGCAAAGTTCCCTTGTCCGGGGTGTCGGCCGGGCTTCCCCGTTCCGAGAAAAGTTACGTGGCGGTTTGGTTCGGTGACAAGGGAGCAGCATTTCAGGAGATCTAAGATCAATGGGCACCCCGGAATTTCCTGAAGCAGCCTAGGGGCGCAAGGGTTGAAGGTACATGCAGCATCGAGCGTACCAGGAAAGCTGATGGTGGTACAGGCACAAAGCTGAAAGGCCTAGTACAGGCAGCACAGATACATCAATACACCGAGAGCAACCTCTGGGAAGGCCCGTTCTCGGTCGCAGAAAAGAGCTGAGAATGCGCGCTAATCGAAATGGCGAATTCGCTTTTACGGATGCCTAGACCGTCGATGGGGGCGCTCCAACACCATTGCGGATCTCTTTTCTTGCTGCTGAAGCCGCATAGCACGCCTTGCTGATAAGGATAATACCAGTAAGACAGTTGAATGGGGACGGTGGATAGACTACTGGACTAGCAATCTCTTTCTTATTCTGCTCTGCGCCGCACCAATTGCAGGGAAAACGGAGAGTATCTGTCCAGAGATAGCAACCCCCACATTCTACCGTAGGGAGGGAACCAGGGGGTGTTTCTGGGGACCCCGGCCGGGGCAAGAATGGAGGTAGCGTAATTTGACAGGGCCCTCTGTCTCCCAGACTTTGTTGCCGCGAGAATAAGGAAGGTGAAGAGTCATGCAGAACAGATAGTCGGGAGCGTATCTTGGACCACCGGAGCATGTACGGGAGTACTTTTGGCTTTCCAAGGGCACGCTAGGAATGGCGAACGCCACTCGGCGCCGGTTGGCGGACTGGCAATCATAGGAAAGAAGGAAAAGTCTGGGGAATGTGTGTGTTGCACACAAGGGCTAGAATTTGCATATCCGCACCCCATGTCTCATGGACCGTAGAGATCGCCCAAGAGGAATCACGATAGAGCCGCTTCAATCAACAGGCTCGGTTGCGGAAACGGCACTACTGACACTAGGACTGGGGACAGAGGAGCGATTATTCTTCACTCCGCAACGCAGCACGAGTAAGCGGAGAAGCAAGCTTTCTGCCGGCGGGCCAAAGCAGATTGATCATCGTAGGCCTGGCACTCGCTGGGCTCATGAGGTTTCATTCTGATCTCGTTCTTGTTAAACCAGCTGCAACCAGACATCTCTCTATCCTTGCTTCAACCAAAGACAGCGGCAACCAGTAATATGTTGTAGTGGACGTTTCCATTCGCGGAAAACGGGCAACGCAGCCGTGTCTCGGCTATATGGCTGGCACCTCTTCACCCTTCTCTACTGCCTGTTGCTTCTCCCTTGGTGTACGGCCTGGTTTCCGTTTGTCATGTTGGAGGGCTATCGTCACGTCGACCAGCGATCTTCAGAGCCAATCTTGCCTCACCTGAAGGACAAGCATGGGTAGCGTTAGAACCAATGCGAATACTACCTGCCCGACAGCGCACTATGCTGTAAGCGTATGGCTGGCTAAGCGCCCGAGCAGCGAGCCGCAATCACTCATGCCTTGTCCGTGCGATCAACTGATTTGACAGGAAGCGTGACCACATACTCCATGGGGTTTTGCGGCCATGGAGCGATAACCTAACGGTAATGAGGATGGGCCCCATTGTCATATCTCCCCTCCCCGATATGGAGCGGCCCAGATGATACGGAGTGGTACCTGGTGGTCGATGATATGGTAGCCTGACCCAACAGGCGAGCTGTCACGGCCATTGCGTTGTTGGTGGGCGTGACTCTGCCAGACCCCCCACCTGCGGTCCATCAAGGCCTCACTATCAGTTGGAAATGGAGGTGGTGGTATGAGGGAGCTGGGTCGCTGTCACTTCGGCCCCCAAAAAGGTGGGATGTAGCGTCCTGATGACCCTCAAGCCTGGGGACTGAAAATAGACGACGGGCGCCAGCCAAGCATACATAGCAGGAAAAGCCTGTTGACTGGGCGGTGCTGAAGGTGAGAATGCAAGGACAGCGTCATCCGGATGCGTGAGCGTGAGTACCTACTTGGTTTATAGGTCTCGTATTAACTCGTACCTCACGGTAGTACTGAGTTGTCAACTCAGGACAAGATGGCAAAATTCTATCGTAGTGAAATCCCACCCTGACATGGCATCATCCTCGAGCCTGCGGAGGAATGCGCCGCGCGGAGTAATTTCAGCGACTCGCAAGCTATAAGCATTGCTGTGCGTGTGTGCTGCATTCTCGACTCTGGTGCTAGCCAGCGTTAGAGGGCGCCTTTCTGGGACCGTCGTGGTGGTGGCTAGCGCTCGGCCCCACGACACACGGGAAAATGAGTCGTGCCCAGGCAGAGCCGAAGTCGAATCTATAGAGTAATGGCTTTTCGCTGGCGATCACTGAATGCGCCAGAAGGATTTTTGGCAGCTTCTTTTGGGGTCTTCAGCACACCAGTGAAGGGGCGACGGCAAGCCACGCCATGGGATAGCGCACTGCGTATATTAATTAATTAATTAGGCTACCCGCCGGAAGAAAAAAAAAATCAAATACGATGCTGAGTACATGCTCGAGTAGGAACTTACACTGGGTATTCCGCCTGTTCTCGAGATGTTGCTGCAGCCGGCAACCGCAAGCAGCGTCATGTCGTGTTGTCAAAATCGCTCCCGGTGCGATTGCATTCTCAGTAACCCTCGTACTCGTAACTGTTAGGCGTCTCCATGCCGCTGAAGCCACGCTGATAGCTTTTCCGGGGAATGGCGGCCAATCACTCGAGCACGACAGACGCTGCGCCTCACTTCCCCCCGATACCGTAGCCTGGGGGGTGCGAAGTGAGTTGTGCTGGGCTTTTACAGTACAATAAACGCATTGAGTGTAAAACGTAATTAATAGTTAGCACTTGCAACTTGTGGTATAGACGGCTCGGTGGAGCGAACAGTCTCAACAAAGAAAGAGAGAGAAAAAAAACCACTGCAACTGCTACCTTCACCGTTCCTCCACCGCCAGCCCACAGCTTCCAACTTGCTCGCAATCGTGTGCCGAGAGGGGGTGGCTGCAGTGGCATAACGCTAGCATCGCATCTGGCAAGGCAACTTGGGCAAGTACCAGCTTGGCGGAGGTACTTTGCGCCTCAGCGCCAGCAACAGCGAGCATCTCCCGTGGGCCGAAAAGAGCCTGGCTGGCTGGCCGACTTAGTGCTACAGGTACGGGGTACGAGTCGCACATCATCTATCTTGCCAGTGCCGGTGGTACACGCTACTTGGTGCGTGCGTGTGTGCTGCAGCGGCGCTATCTCCACGCCGCACCCCTCGCCCCGTGTTACACCCCCTCCTTCTTGCCTTCCCCCCCCCCTGCCGCTCGCTCCTGCCCATTCGCCCCAGCTGGGGCTCCCACTGAGCGAACACAAGGGCTGGGGCTTGATGCTGGGGCCAGAGGTACAACCATCTGAGAGCCGACAAGTACCCCGTGCCCCTTTCCAAGCCCTGGCTACGTGTCCCCCTCCTCGTCCTTCCAGCACCCCATCGCGCCATCCAGCCCACTGGACGCTGCCATGCAGCACTGTTGCCCACCCCCAACGCCGCCGCCTAAGCCCTGCGTGACGCCCCTGATTTACCGCCGCGTGTAGCGACCACCAGCATGTGCAATGCGCTGATGCGCCCGGGTACAAGCCCACAAGTACCTCTCCATGCTCCCTTGTCCTGTACGAAGTACCGACCCGGCCGAGCCCGCCCTTATTAAAGCGATTCCCTCCCCCCAGTCCCCTCCTTCTCCCGAGAAAAAAAAAAAAAAGTAAAAAGTCTTCTTCCCTTGACGTACCAAGATAAAAAGTCAAAAGCAAGCCGGCCGCCACTCGCAACACAATAGCAAATCTTGCCTCTTAATATTACCCTTACCGACGACCAAGAAGCCATAGACGCATGGGAGAAAGACAAGACAGCGTCAGCAGCATTCGCAATCAGATACACTTACAGATATAGAAAGCAACCCGTCTCTCTCTCCCCCGCCACCAAGGACAATCGCATCCGCATCATAGCAGCCAGCCCACACACTCGCTTGTTCAGACAACCTCGCTGACCGCC